AACAGTACAAAACTTTCTGATTTGTAACCTGGGGCAATAATCTCTAATGTAATTCACCTAACAGGCCATAAAAAAGAAGTGAGAAAAGGAAGGAAACTGTCTTTAGAAGTAGTCTTAGACTCCTGTAATTCCAATTTGCCACTGTTGCCAGATTATGACATCTAAGATCAAGAGCGCTATCAAGCAGCAAGGAGAAATACAACGTGTCTGCCTTATTAACTTTTTCTTCTGACAATAATGGAGAGAGCAGCTTATTTTTGGAACAGAATTAGAAATAGCACCATTATTTATATGACCTGAAATTTACCTTTTTACCTTTCTCAAGAACACATAGCCAAATGCTCATAATTTATACGCTTGAGTAACCTGTTTTAAAAAACCACCAGCATTACATGTATTACATAAGCAGGTTTTCATCAGAGTTTTGCTTAGTGTTGATTGCTATGTAGCAGTCTTGGCTAGACTGACACATACAAAAACTGTATCTTGCAGGAGGCTGCAAAGACAGGCAATTCTTAAATGGGTGAGCAGTTTTGCCAAATGAAACTGTGAAGAATCTTGTTAATTCAACTTTGTCTGTATAATTGTGGAGCCACCATCATGGTTTCTTCACACCACTATGTTCCTGTACCAAAGGCATTCTCAGATAACAACATTCTGTGCCAGCTACTCTGCCACTTGATTTTTGGGACAACTGGGACAGAAAGAAATGAAGGCCCCATATTTTAACTTAATAATCAGGGAATTTTTCACTTGCTGGTCAAGGAATGATTTTCAAGAAAAATTAAGACCAAAAGGCAGCTCTACATGTCAGCATAGGTACTGTATAGAACATATAGGAAAGGCTTTTCACTACTGTGAAGCAACAGTATATCTTAACAAAATCAAATAAAGCAAGCTAAAACCTCAATTTCTGGTAAGCCTGTAATACAGTCCACATATTTAAAAGGCTGCATCTTGTATTATATTACATTATTTTATAGTGACTATACTATATTCTACTGTGTTGCACTGCATAGAAGAACGTAGTATTGAAACAAAGACCTGCCAAAACGCAGGATTTCGATTTGACCACGAGGTGGGAGCATTGCTCATCACACATACCCCGGGCACAGGCTTTCATCGTATGCAGCAGCTGTTGAACACGTAAGTATCCTGTATATTTCTGTGCTAAAACGTGCATGTTACCACTGAAATAATAAGTTGCCAGGACAAACACACAAAAAGGGAACCTTTTATTTGTCTATAGTTTGTAGCTGAAAGAGTATATTTGATTGAATAAACTGCATTTTGGTCCCTGGAACAAAGAGTTACACTGAAACCTTTGCATAAACATTGCAGAATCTCTTCCCAGTGAGAAAAAAAAATGAGGAGGTGGTAGAAATACTCTGTGAAAGTGGTAATTATAGAATCATGCAATCAGAATAGTTTGGGTTGGAAGGGACCTTTAAAGGTCATCTAGTAAAACTCCCCTGCAATAAGCAGGGACATCTTCAACTAGGTCAGGTTGCTCAGAGCCCTGTTCAACCTGGCCTTGAAAGTCTCCAGGGATGTAGTATCTACCATCTCACTGAACAAACTGTTCCACTGTTTGCCTACCATCACTGTAAAAATTTCTTCCTTATATCTAGTCTGAAGTGGGGAAGAATAATTTTCTCATTTGTTGTTAGTTTCATGAGCAGGAAAAAAAAGAATTGCAAAAAAAGAAAGGTTGGATTGTAGATAAAAATCATGTCCATGTGACTTCTTACAGTTTCACATGGGAAAATTAAGTTTTCCAAAATGGTTTAATAGTGTTCTATCCCACAGGAAACTTTTGATAAACTACTTGTGCTGATGATGTCCCTGATAGGGCTGTGTCTTTATGTGGGAAATGGCAGCCCCACATTTCTTTTCTTGGAATGGAAAAAAAGGGCAGTACTGAGTAAGAAGCAATATCTCCCACAGAAAAAAAAGCCGGTACTATGAAGATCAGATTAACATGCGGAGACTAACCTATGTTTAAGAGACTTGCACAGGATTTTGAAGCAGTTAAGTCTGAAATCCAAGGCATGCAGCTTGCATAGCCATCCTCAAGCTAGGTTTAATATCATTGGCTTTGGTATGGATAGGCTCAGTGGTACAAAGCTCTGGCTAGATTCATAGTTCATCGCTGTCTCAGCAAGCTTGACTCCCGTTCCTGGAGGCACTGGAAGTATTATTGGATAGCTTCAAGGTAATTGACACAGAAGCTACATTTCACACCTGTGACTACAGTGTAGATGTGCAGTTTCAACGTCTTTGTGTCAATGGATGGATTTTATTATGTGTCCTTGGTCACTAGGTTCCTCATATCAGAATACAAACATATCAGGAAAAACATATCAGAATCACTTTGGCATGTATGTATTCCTATAAGAAGATATTACAATGACTTTCTTTGTATATAATTAAAAAAGCAACTTGGATACAGATCCTACAAAGATTTACTCAAAATATATTCTGAACTTTCTTCTCTGGATGTAGGATGCCTGCGCCACAGGACAGGGTAGCAGACTGATGTCGATTGAGTTCAGGGCTTCAGCTGATGCTAATGGGTAGTGGTGAGAAAGCTTAAGCTCATGTGGTAAATCTACACACACAGGCACCTGTTTAATACAAATACCCCCTGAGCTACATACTGAATAGAGGTTGGAAAACCCAAGAACAGAACAGAGGTTGTAAAATCCAAGTACCCTTGACCCTGAAAAAAGTCCAGGCTGAGTTTCACTCACCAGCAAACTACATGTGGTGAGTGCATTATAGCCATAACCTCAATCTTTTTAACTCCCCAGCTCCATCTTTTTCCCCAGCAGATGGCATGTGAAAGACCATGCACTGGCACCAGAGAAAACATATTTTCGTGTAAACATTTCAGTAGCTTGTAAACAGCTACATATTATCCATGGATCATGTTCCTTTTTCCATATGCCTCACATGGCTGGTAAGGAGATTTGCTCTGGAGTGAGCAATGGACAGAACAAGTTGTGCCGTATTTGGCAAAACAGAAGTGCCACGTGCTTTATTTTCTTAGGTGCATAATTCACAATTTTTCTCTTGATTTTTTTTCAATGAGATCATTATCTATAATCTGCCTCTACAGTGTCTGAATGAAAAACATTCAGCTTACAAATTGTCCTTCTAATGGACTTGCATAGTTACAGTTGCTTATTCACTGTATTCAACTGGTCCCATGATATTAGCCTTTTCCCTAAAGGGATGAGCAGAACTTCCTCTTACAGGAGAAAAAATAACAAATAACAAGTACAAATAACATCAAACAAAGATGAGCAACTTGCAAGCAACCAAATTCACACCCTCTATCTTCAAGTCTGCATGAAATATTCACTTCTTCGTCCTCCAGCCTAACTAAATAGGTGCCCATAATCTTTCTAAGACCTTGACAGTGAAGGTCTTCAAATGTAACCTTGTCCTCAAAGTTAGGGATTCACGGGTCTACTCTCTTGGCTGGGCTGGTGCTCCTGAATACTCTTTAAAAAACGCCACAGTGTTTCTGCATCCACGTGGTCCTGCAAGGGCTGCAGCCTTCCAGCACAGCTGTTGCTCAGCCATCACCCACTGGAGCAGGGAGAACAGTCATTCTGCCCATTAATCCTTCTGGGGTTTTGATAGTTACATACAGAGCTGCACATACTCATGAACATCTGAAGAGTAACATGTTATTTGAGTATTTGTGCTTAATTTCTGCATAACCACACTAAGAGCTGCAAATGGTATTTGTTCAAGACTGTTTTCCTGACAGACATATAACACAACTATGTAAGTAATGTGACCTCTTAACAAAATAACTGAATTCTTCTAAACAATTGCTACTAAGGAGCCTCTTAAGAAAAAGCATATATTTATGTCTGAAATTAATACAAGCTTCCAGATGAAGTTTTCTACATTTTTAATTGAGGTAAAATATTTTCTTCTTATTTGCCACATTTGCTAGAGCAATAGGAATTTAAATATTTCTTAAAAAGAAGCAATAAAAGAAAACATGGTATCATACTAAACTGCAGTACTTACAATGAAGTTGTCTTTCTTGACCATCAAAGCAAAGCACTGTATTACTTACATTTAGGAATAGTTATGATTCAGTGAATTTCACTGAGACAAACACAGAAAATGCTAGAAAACTTGTTTCCATTTAGTTTGCTACCTAATACTTCAGCAATTGCCTTAAGCAATGTGGATTCAGATACTATCTCAGAGCCCTGTGGTACACAGGTGAAGAAGTGCATAAGAGTAAACACATCACAGAATTTAGAGTTATTTTTCCAGTTTGCTGAGGCTGCTAAAAATGTCTGTGAATCTCTACACTAGGCTCAGACTCATTTGAAATTATTCCCAGATGACCATGAAGTCATCCTACGGCTTGGGATTGCTTCAGTTCAACCATGTTTCATCAATTCCCTTTTCAATAGAGGACCTCTATGCTGATATGTTCATTGCTGCTCGCTTCTCACACCACTGGTTTGACAACACTGGGTAAATTCCCCTTCAGACAACTAAGTCAAGAAAGCTTTGTGTTTGTATTGGTGTAGTATAATGTGATCATGTAAAACAGGGACATCTTGTGCAGTATTTTTCTTAGCTCTGTTTTCTTCGTCTCCAATGCAGCCTGTCCTTACAGACAGCAGAATACAGCCCAAAGAAAGTCAGAAGGATAGAATCTCACAAATCCGCATTTCCTACTATGCAACTCTAATAATCCAGGATTTTTCTTTCAGGCACTGCGCAAAAATTGATGGATAAGGCTTACCAGCTCAATTAAATGGTGCTAGGCATTATGTGAAAGGAATGATTTTCCCTCAGAATGCCCTAATGGCTTTTTTTCAAATCTAATGACTGTTTCTCTTAAGTCTGTTTCTGGTTACCACACTTTTTTTTTGTTTTAGAATAAACTACAGATATTTAGGAATCAAAATATTGCATATAAAAATGGGTGACAAAATGCAATAAAACGTTGTCCTTACCATCTGTTTTCTTTGATTCATCCCCCACACTGGACTCATCTCTTTTGTCCAACTTATTGTCTTCCTTTAATTCAGCTAGAAAGAAGCAATAAGAAACACTATAATGATTTTAATGCAGACTGCAGTTTATTAATGCCTATAACTCAATCAAATGGGAACATCCAAAGGAGATACTCCTTAGGAGGAAAAGTCTGAATTCAAAAGGAATAAAGCACCAAAAAAAATTATCCATCTCCTACAGAAAAGCAAGCTTTACAATCTACTTTTAAATGTATTCTAATTTTTAAAACCATTTAAAGTGCACATGCAAACTCTTAATCCCTCTGATTGTATGCAGGCCATTAAAAACCTGAGTATAAACTTAATTTCAAAACCAGGACTCTGAAACATCTATGCTTTTAAGGGACTAAGACCCTGCAAGACTTCATCATAAGTTTCTGTTTTAAAGAACCACCTTAGATATCCTAAACAGGCCTATATAATTTTGTCTTGCTTTCTCTTACCAGATTCTGTTATCCACAGATTCATTTGGGTTGGTCCTTTGATGACTGTATCAGGGAACAATCATCCTAGCATTGATAACTGCCTTTAGAGTCCCTGTAGCAAACCACAAAATCAAGGCCTTTGGCAGAGCAATGGTTGATGCAAAATTAAAACAGTAGCTTGAGCTGGGGGGTATTTTATGAAGCCAGGAAAGTTAACCAGTCATTCTCATTTTCTGTCCTCTATTAGTCATACATCAGACTTTCCTAGACCATCCCTTCATTGAATGTGAATGCTGAATGCAAGATCAAATAAAAAGTAACTTAAAAGGAGAGATGCAGCAGAACAAAGCTATTTCAGTTGCAGTGTCCAAACAGCAGCAAAGAAGGTGTCCTTCTTTCAGACATCCAGTGAAACAAGACCAGTCTGCCCAGATGGGAGCAGGCAGTTTGTCCTTTCCTCATGGAGTAATGGCTGTGAATTTGTAACACACACTTTAACATAAAAAGCTGTAAAAGTCTTGCTTCAGAATTTTGTAAACATGAGGTATGCTACAGGGCTGTATTAAAGTGATGTTTATTCCATTTCTATTCCTGTTTTGATACTTCCCAGTCTTTGGATCAAAATTAAAGGTATTACATGTTAAAGAGGATCTGTTCTGCCTTCAAAATACTTATGGGCAGTGGATATTTATTTTTGGAACAGCTCCAAAAAAAAGAAAAATTGAAAAGAAGCATGGTCTCCCTCTTCCACAATGTGCCCTAACCACTGACATGTTTGTTATTCTTGGATGGCAGTGGATCAATCTCTCTCTCCAATTAAGATCCATCATAGTAGAAAAGAGAAATGGTTTTCAAATATTTAAATATTTAACAAGATGGGAAAAAAGCATGTTCTGTTCAGCTTTTATACAAAACTTTTCAGGTTTTTCTTCCTAAACTCACTGTATGTGTGAGAGAAAAAAATGAAATCAAGATGATACAGGACAAGAAGCACCCTCCTCAGCTGATCACACTGACACTGACTTGGGGTACTTGATCAGAGAGGTATGAGCAGATCCAAACAGGGTTTAGGTGTCTGTTTGATAAAGGTGGCCTTAAAAAAAAAAAAAGGATACTATCTTAGGAAATGAAATAAAAATGTACCTAGCAAAGCACAAAAGTCTTCTTGCATTTCCTCCACCATCATACAGATGATGATAATGATGAGATAATAATGGTTTCTAACCATTGCATAAAGAAGTTGTTTGACCCTAACTGTGTGCAGGAAAAGATGCTGAACATCTACACACACATTATTTCACAGTTCAGTCTCTCAGAGAAAGAACACAGGCAGTGAATGACAGAGAGACTTTAAACTCACCTGACACACAATTTCTGAACTTTCATTGAATATTATGAATAGGAGACTTTTGAGTATTGTAATATCTACCCTGCCATAGTGCCAGCAGCAGAGCAGAATGATAATCATAATGATCTTTCTGAAAGGGATTAAAGAAACAGAGATATTAACATAAGGGAAGCTGTGCTGAATCCAGAGATACGAATGTGAAAATCTCATCAGTCTCCAAAGACTCTGCAGTGATTGTACCTCCTGAAGGTACATAATCCCATAAATTAAGGAGCAGAATTTCTTTTCCTGAGGAAGATGCTAATTTTCAGAAATCACTATAATTCCTTTCAAAGCACTTTTGACACCTGCAGCCGAGAAGCATTGCAGAAAAAGGTACTATTAAAATCACTAGAGAACACTTAATCCCCATACTGTTAGAAGCATGTAAAACAAAGGATTTCAAAATAAATGTTTGATGTAGTCCAACTGGAATTTCGTAAGTCCCTAACATTTTTGATTTCCTGCTGGGCCCATTCCTATTCACCCATGTAACACTGAAGAAAAATCACAAAGAGCATGACAGCTCTGATTCCCACAGTCCTTCCAATCTAGAAAAACCCTAATGATGAAGGAATTAATGGGAAAGGCAAGCAACCATGAAAATAGTATCAGGAATGCTTTAAATAGAATTTCTGCATCTCCTGCCATCTAAACTTACTGCTTGAACCTGGGACTTTCAAAGCCTGTATGCTCACTCGGTCTTTTTCTAAGACAAAGTTTCTAAGTGTCTTTTTTGCTAGTTTTGCACTGCCTGATACTAGCCAAGTTTGTGACAAGTCAATGTGCCTGTACTGCCATTTTTTGATACTGGCTTCAGGGAACAACAGTGAAACAACCTAGAGATAACTGATCTGTTCTCATGGGTATATGTCATGGGTTAAGACTGCCCCCCCCGAGAGTCAGGGTCTCAGAGGTGGTTGGGTGCCAGGTCAGTGTTCCCTGGAGAGCCAACCACCACTCGTCTTGTTCGCTTCTGCTAAAAATCATATATACACAGCACTGGAAGCTGTTCGCAGTTTTTCTATTGGTGTCTGCTGTGTGTAGGTGTAGAAGGCCAGGGGGTGGCTGGGCTCCTTCTTCCCCCCTCCAGGAGGGAGCGGGGAGCCCTGCGGCCCCCCCAGCTCTGCCTAGGCCAGAGTTAGAGACAGCATTGAAGTGAGTGTTTGTGAGGGATGTGACTCACAAACAACTGGTAAGTGAGAGAGAGAGAGAGAGAGGCAGGCCTTGCAGCTAGGCCCTCTTCTTCCCCCGCCCCTTTGCAGCCAGGCTGCAGAAGGGGGCTGTTTTTCCCTCTCACTGTTTAGTGGGAGTGGATGCAAGGCTCAGCATTGAAGCAAAGCCAAGTGGACGGGCTGATAACGAAACAGCTCGAAGCCAGGGAAAGGAATTCCAGGTGAAACTGGAGACGGGTCAAAGGGCTCGGGAGTTGCCCTGCTGAGGTTTGACTGGGGGGAGCTGAAAACTGACTTAGAGGACAGTACCTTGATAAGCTACACTACAGCAGCCTACAGAACGGAGGTATGAGACCGAGAGGGAGAGATCACACAGCAGAAATGACACAGGACAAAGGAGAAAGGACTCAAAGCTACCTTCTTAGACTTAATGAAGAAGAAAGAACTGCAGCAAACAGCTGAAGGTTGGTAGAGAGTGTTCAGGGGCCCCGAACACTCCCATGAGAGAGAGACTGGTTACTTATCAGCCTGAAAAGGCTTTTTCCTGGACTAAAGTTAAAAGGATAAGCTTTGAAGGGACTGATAGAAGTGTAATGCTATATATATAGCTGCTTTTAGTTTGTACAGTATATTTATTTGTGTAAATAAATGTAAATACTTCCCCCTTCCCCTACAGAAGCCTCTGGCCTGAAATGTTTCTCATCGGTGTTGGGATAAATTGTGGGAAGGGGTGAGAAAGCCTGGAAATTGGATTTTAGATTTCTAATGTGGCTCAAACTGCCACATTTTTTTTAATGTTTAATGGAATTTTCAAACATTTTTATCATCTTTTTTGGGTGAAGAATGAGATTCTTATTTTAACTCAGTTCTATAGCAAGTTAAAAACAATGGAATAAAATTTCTGTCAAACCCTCCCTCCCCCAAAAAAATGAAGGCTTGTGACTATCCTTATTAAAAGAAAACTGAGCAAAAGAAGGATAGATAAAATAAATTCTAAAAAAAGAGAGGAGAAAAATCCTCTGCCTGAAAACATATTTATATCTGAGACTCAAATCAAAGATGCCTTTAATTGGCTTTAAAATGAGTTTATAAGCCAACTTTGGATTCTCCTCTGTTCTCTTCTCCACCCAAACAATGATGTTCTTTGAAACAAGAATATTTGTTTCAGCTTTCGAAACTCTGTATCATAACAGGTTGCTTCATTTCCATGAGATAAATATTTTTTCCTTTCCTCTAAAAGTTCCCAGGCAGACATGAGTGCAATCACACAGCACCTTCAGGATGGACAAGGGATTAGACCCAGCCAGCATGGGTTTAGGAGGGGCAGGTCCTGTCTGACCAACCTGATCTCTTTTTACGATCAGGTGACCCACCTGGTGGATGAGGGGAAGGCTGTGGATGTGGTCTATCTAGACTTCAGCAAGGCCTTTGACACTCTCTCCCATAATATACTCCTGGAAAAGCTGGTAGCCCATGGCTTGGACAAGTGCATCCTTTCCTGGATTAGGAGCTGGCTGGAGGGTCGGGGCCAGAGAGTGCTGGTGAATGGAGCTGCATCCAGCTGGCGGCCAGTCACTAGTGGTGTTCCCCAGGGGTCTGTGTTGGGTCCAGTCCTGTTTAACATCTTTATTGATGATTTAGATGAGGGGATTGAGTCCATCATCAGCAAATTTGCTGATGACACCAAATTGGGAGGGAGTGTCGACCTGCTGGAAGGCAGGAGGGCTCTGCAGAGGGATCTGGATAGACTTGAAAGATGGGCTGATTCCAATGGGATGAAGTTCAATAAAGCCAAGTGCCGGGTCCTGCACTTTGGCCACAACAACCCCATGCAGCGCTACAGGCTGGGCACAGAGTGGCTGGAAAGCAGCCAGGCAGAAAGGGACCTGGGGGTACTAATTGACAGGAAGCTCAACATGAACCAACAGTGTGCCCAGGTGGCCAAGAATGCCAACGGGATCTTGTCCTGCATCAAAAATAGCGTGGCCAGCAGGACCAGGGAAGTGATCCTTCCCCTGTACTCTGCGTTGGTGAGGCCACACCTTGAGTATTGTGTTCAGTTCTGGGCCCCTCAGTTCAGAAAGGATATTGAGGTGCTGGAGCGGGTCCAGAGAAGAGCAACAAGGCTGGTGAAGGGACTGGAGCATAAGTCCTATGGGGAGAGGCTGAGGAAGCTGGGGTTGTTTAGCCTGGAGAAGAGGAGGCTCAGAGGTGACCTCATCACCATCTATAACTACCTGAAGGGAAGTTCTAGCCAGGTGGGGGTTGGTCTCTTCTCTCAGGCACTCAGCAATAGGACAAGGGGGCACGGGCTTAAGGTCCACCAGGGGAAATTTAAGTTGGATATCAGGAGAAAATTCTTTACAGAGAGAGTAATCAGGCATTGGAATGGGCTGCCCAGAGAGGTGGTGGATTCACCATCCCTGGAGATTTTTAAACACAGATTGGACGTGGCACTGAGTGCCATGATCTAGTAAATGGACTGGATTTGGACCAAGGGTTGGACTCGATGATCTCGGAGGTCTTTTCCAACCCAACCGATTCTATGATTCTATTCTATGATGAACCCATCTTCTATTGAAAAATGCTACTCAGAAGTTAACATACAGTTTCTGATTTCCATATGTAAGTGACTATGCCTACACACAGGAAGAGACTCTGGCCCCAGAACATCCCTTTTCAGGATACCACGTTCCCCCATCACTAAGGTGAGATACTGGTTTTAGGGTTCGATTTATGTTTCAGTGGAAGGAGAGAACTCACCATTCTGGACATGCTGTTTCTCTTCTCCCACTGTGTGATGAGAGTCTGTTCCCTTATCTGTCCTAGGTATGTTTTTCCCTTGAGAGGCTTTCTGTTTGTTCATGCCCCTTTGCTGAGTCTCATTTACAGAATTTTTACTGGAATCTGTGCTTTTGTTTTCCCCAGGATTTGGTTCTTTGCTGTTCTCTGTATTTGTTGCTGTGGTATCTTCAGCTGGCTTCTCACCCTTTTCGCTTTCCTTTTCATCTGTTCCCTGATAGGCATTTTCCTCTGCTTCTTTCTCATCTTTTTCTTCTGCATCTTCAGCAAAGAGAGAAGCAAAACAAGGAAAGAAATCACAACTATCAGTCAATTTGACAACTCACATCTAAATCTACTTCAGTATTTCACATGCAAACAGCTTTTACTTAAAAAAAAGTAGGAAATGACCTGACAACAGAAAAAGAGCACAGAAGAACATTTAACAAAGTATTCTGAAAACAATATGCCAGGCTGGCCTAAATGTATATTATGTGTGTGTCCTTTTTTTACCATATAAAGTTCACCTTTGAAAAAGTGGTTCCACAAAATTCTTAAAAGGCAAAAAGAGATATTAGCTACTGATGGCTCTAGGGGTGCCAAAGCTATTTTCATTTTTGACAAACAAGAGTCAAAGAGCATTTAGTCCCACATTGTACCAGGTAACTCTAAGCACATAAAGTCTTGGTTCCTTGATATCTACTTTTTCTCCCTCTTGTTCCAGCTTGCTTCCAATGCCAGCTTCTTTGTCTCTTCCCTTCCACTTAGAGTTATCCTTTCTTTATGGTTCCATCCTTTCCTGGCAGACTAATACATTGCTACTAGTGCTTGCCATGCCATCCCCAAAAGTTTTACAGTCATTCACAAATATACAAAGGTATAAATTCAAAAGTGAATGTTGAACAACAGCAGTACCTCAAAATAATGTAATTCGATTAAAAAAAAAATTCACAAAGAAGCCGTTTTCCTCCATCCAAGATATTATTCTTGTTCTCGTCCAAACATTAGGTACTTATGTAACACTTACTTGTAAGACGGGTTGCAAATTACTTTTGCTCCAGGTATAGAGACCACTACATTTCTAGCCCAGGTCAGGTACAGCACTCCCCAACAGACTCAGCTGCAAGGGCTTTGTTTGGCTTCCTGCATCCCACTGAAAAGCAGAACACAACCATAGTCCCTCAAGACAGCCCTCAAACTAATAAACCTGACTGGGTGTGCACAAACTCTGGGCAGAGAATCCATAATTTTCTTCCCCTTTTGCATGATCAATAGAGACTTAATCTGCAAAAGCAGATGAGTAGTTCAGCACATACTCAATTTGGAACCTGTGAGCTTATGCAGCTTCAGATCATAACTGAATCTATACTGAGTCTAGCACAGAGATGTAACCAACCTATTATTGGGTTGACAATATTCAGGCCTACTCCTTATGACCCCATCAAGCAATGATTTTAATCGTGATAAGAATCCACAGATGTATCTCTTATTTTCTGAGAGACTATATAAGCTGACAAACAGAGGAGCAGATCCTATAAAACGCTGAGTGAAGTCTACCTCAGTCCTAGGGAAGTATTCTTGACATGTATAAGGAAGATGTTTTGTTCCTTACAGGAGCAGGATCTTGGCCAGTATGTAAAAATTACATTGTCAAATACTTCTTATGAGTGAATCAGAATCAATTTTAAGAAAAATGTACCAATGAGGTACAAAAGTGGAAAGCTGTCCTTATAAGAAATGCCAATGTGCATTTCCCTTGTCAGCAGCTACATAAAGTAAACAAATTTTTAAATTAATAAATTATGGTTCACACAAAAACATAATTCAGTCTTCCTCACTCCACTAATCATTCCTGAAATCTGTGCTAGCTAAGCTATACATATTGATATTTTTTCTGGAGTCTCATAGATTTCACAGAATATTTTGAGTTGGAAGGGACCCACAAGGATCATCAAGTCCAACTCTTCAGTGAATGGGCTGCACAGGGATCAAACCTGTGACCCTGGTGTTATTAGCACCATGTTCTAACCAACTGAGCTAATCTCAGAGTCCCATCGCATACAGAAGGATTCCTCTCATTTGAGGATCTGAAAAAAGTTACGTTTTGCACCTGAGCCGCAGGAGAGAAATTTGTCTCAGGAGACTACAATACCATTGGATGAGCGCCTCTTGTCAAAAGCAGTGTTAGAAAATACTTTATCTAAATAGTGCTTTGCACATCAGGGTGTTTGTTTTGTAGCTATTTAATGATTATTAAATTTAAATAGCTATTTTTAGTTATTTAATGATGATCTTTTAAGTAAAAAAGATCAGTAATAAGCCCACTTATTTTGCCTACACAGTATGAGAAATTTTCTATAAATACCACACTTAGGATAAAAACTGCTCACTGAGGCTTCTAAGAGTAATGCCATTACCAACGGGAATAGCGTATTGTACAAATAATTTAATAATAATATTAGCTGCAAAAGTAACAATAATAGATTCCTTCCCTTCTGATCCTCAACTGCTATTTGCTGTCAACTAACAGGCAATGTTGTATTCTCTTAGTCGTAACTGTTTTTATTGGCAGTGCATCTTGACAATGGTTAGGAAAGGGTCAGCAATTTCAGTCCCTGCTGAGTGGCAGGCCTTGCTGCATAAGACTAAGGACAAGGCAGATGGACCTAGAGTGCAGAAAATTTCTGCAAGTCAGGAGCAAGACAGCAGCTGAGCAAAGATACTGATGAAAGTGCTCAGGAGTCCAAGAACATAGAAAGGTATGCTGAGCCATATGTTTGTATAACTCTTCCAGGATTAAAAAAATATGTATATTTGCACTGCTAAACACACCTAGAAACATTAAAATCAAACTGTTTCCATTTACATGAAATAAAACAACTCCATTAAAATAGGGTTTGAGTAATAACCATTCAGATCACAGAATAAATTGCATTCCAGTTTCATAAAGAAAAAAAAAACAGTTGAAACATTCCTCCTTTTTTGGTTCCAAAATCACCTGAGGGGTCAAGGAGACCTTGGGCAATCATCCAGCCCCTGGAGGTAAGGGGCAGTTATAACTAAATTGTTCTCAAAAGATGGCTCTCATTATTTCCAAAAGAACTCCAATAACAGAGATTTGCTAATGTCTAACTTATTAGACATTATAATAACATTTATAATAACCTGACAATTTTTTTCTCCTCTTAACAGCCCAGGGTATTTGAATAAAACAATAGTTCCCTTATTTTTCAGCTGAAGTAGTCTTCAAAAAAATGCTTTCAGCTATACACCTATAATGCTTTCACCTATAGACAAGTTATCATAATTTGCATTGCTGTACTCTGACTTGTCTACAATTGGTCCATATGTTTCCTGAACCGCAGTGGCCAAAACTAGGCACAGCAGGGCTTTGAGGGCCTTGTTACTGCTGGAAAGATGAGAAGAATGCCAGAGGAGTCTCACTAAAGTGTGTTGGGGTTTTTTTTTAGTGTGTGTGTTTGGGTTGGGTCAGGTTTGGGTTTTTTTCAGTGGTGGGGGGATGTTGGTTGTGATTTTTTTTCAATTGCATCAGAGTATTGAACCCTGGTCAACATTTAACCAACACAAAGCTCATATTCTTCTGAAATATTTACAGTCTCTCCCAGATTGATGACATCACAAGCATTTGCAGCATAGCTTCCAATTAATTTTCCAAGTTATCACCAGAAATATGAAACCAGTTATGAATTCAGAATATTCTGTCCTGAAATATTATCCATGCCTCTTTCAACCTTAACAATGAACTACTGATAACCTATATCTACAAATACTGTTCCAGCTATTTTTGCACCACCCTGAGTCTGATTCATGGCTTTAGGGGAACTCCCTCACAACTTTTTTCCCTCCCATTGTCCACATCCTCTTCATTAGGTTCATGGCTGGGCTTCGCGAACGAAGATTTGGGAAGGTTTTATCCACATTTGTTACAGGTACGTTGGTGACTTATGAGGCCAATACGTGACAGACATATCCGATTGCAAAAGGATTAGGTTCACTTACATAAGAAATATAAGGTACTCTTAAGAAGTGTATAAGACACCCTTAAGAAGAGTATAAGGTACTCTTAAGAAGAGCATATAAGGCAAGTATAAGGCACAGACGAGTCACAATATTCCTGTCCTTCTGAATACAGTGTAGGTTGTTGAACTCAAAAAGCAGATTCTCTCGAACTAACAGTGCTTACTTGGAGAAAAATCTGATTGAAGAAGAGCTTGAAGAAGAAGAGATCAAAAGAATTTTTATTCTTTTGCTAAGAAGCTTGGCTGTTACCTTTGGTGGCTTGCGCTTTCCATTTCTCCCTGTTCTGCTGCACCACCTCAGTCCAGGTGGCTTTAAAACATTTGAAGTCCACAGTGAGTATGGAGCAGTTAAGTGAGGCACTTCCTTCGGACCCAGTGCTCTTGACACTTGATCTTTTAACTTCGGAGGGACTAATGTTATTTAGGCTGGGGCACAATATCACAAAACACAGAAGAAATCAGTATCCTGTACACTCAAATACAACTATAAAGAAATAACAGCTGTAAGTCAGATAACAGAGTCACCCAGGAAAAATTAACCTTGAATCCCTTATCCTTCGCTTCTCTCCTGTCCCAACCCAGGCCAATCAATGTTAAAGCAAAGAGCACAACCAAGCCATTGTTAGAAATAAAAGGCAGCTTTTCTCTGACTATTTTTTGGTATCCATGGTCACTAAGAAATAGAATCAGTCAAAGTGCTGTCACTACTTTTGTTGTACACCTCCACTCCCTAAATATTATTGGAGAGTCAGACAATTCTAGAAATAAAATATGTCAGAGGAGGAGTCTCCTAAAATTCACTGAGGCACAACACAGGAAACCCATCTCTGTCCAGGACTTGGTGACCTCAGATGAGGCTGAAATCAGGCACTTGTTTCGGTTACAGATTCTACAGTTGTCTTTCAAGGATGGATGCTTCATTGTGCACATTTTAATAAAGGCAACAAGGTTACCGATAAAGAAAGATATAACTGCCTGCTCCTTGTTCACCCAAGAGTAAAGAAGTCACCTGGGAGAGGGAACCCTGAGGGTAGCCCTACTTTAGGGAGCACTAGCCATGAGGCATTTGAATCCCAAAACATGCCCTGTCAATAAACTACTAAAAGAGCGGTACCTCTATAATACAGTTTGAATGGGCCAAGACTTCCTACACCTGAACTCCAGGTGAATTCTGGCGGTTCTTTACACATTTGCATAACAATACTGTCACAAGAGTGTGCTTATACTTTCCAGTCATCACTTTTGTTTCAATCCCATTTATACTTCTAGATGTGAAGAAATGAGGGCCTCCAAATGACCTTCTCTCTGACATTAGTGACTGAGAGAGCACTGAAGTGTACCCGATTGCATGGCTACAACCATTTGTGCTCACTGCCTTTGGAGGTATGACTCAGGTTCATGCCACCCTACCTCTTTGCCCTCCCCTGGGCACAAAGCCACCTCACAAGATGAGCTGTAGTGTTGGCAATGCGGATATGGAAAACATATACTGTAGGGGAGGAAAACAGAGGAGTTGAGTGCAATAGCAGCATGTGCAGAGTGAAGGGGAAGGTGCAAGGTTATTCACCTGGAGCGCCTGAATCCGGACATGCCAGGGTGGGAAGCTTCATTGATGAGTGGAGTCACAATCTTCTCTGTCATGTCAGTCAGCACAGTAAAAGTGGGTTCCACAATGAAATCAATGAAACCTGAGCAGAAATACAAGGAGAGCCGGGCAGGCAAGAGGAGGATTTATGCAGAGTCCCTGCTTCAGTGAATACAGACAAGCACACTGTAGATGACAGTGTAAAATATTATACTTGAAAGAGAGATAGGCAAATGAAAAAAAGAGGAAATTGAGTTATATATTAATCCCTGGCCGAAGAGGCTGGATACAGCATGCAATAAAAGATACCTACTTAAATACTGGCAAGAAACTGTGGCAAATCACGACATCAAAAGATTCATCAAGACTTGTTTTATATGAGGAGTAGTGTGATATTGAAGTCAAATTTCTAGCAGATTTGGATAAAATCCAGTTTCAAAGAAGAATTCTTTAAAAGCAGAAAATAAATATAACAGTAATAATACCAGTAAGTTTTGCTGGTGTGGAGTTACACACGAACGTCCTTTACTGCGCATCAGCATTCACGTTGCTGTGAATACTCTCTCCTCAGTGCTTGGCCAGCTTTTTCTTGTTGATAAGAAAACAGATTTAGATGCTTTCCCCACATTTTTAAAACAAGTAAAGGAAAAAAATAAAGGGCCAAATAATTTCTACTTCATCATACAGCTTGACAGAGATGAATATGGCTCTGATCTGAATGTTGGGAGAGCAGACTGAAGGGCCTTGTGGCCATAAGCTCATGGGATGGATGAAAATCCAAGATCCATGGACAAAATGTGAGAGTGAGGAGCTTACAGTACCTTACACATTTTCCTAAATTCCTTTATCACTTCAGTTAGCAAATTTCTTAGTGTTGCAGGTAGCCAAGAAAACAATTATATCCTTAATCTCTCATAAGGCATATTGGGATCCAGGTTACAATTACTGTTGCCAGATGTTTTTTGGTAATGTTATTACTATTACAAATCCCTACTTTTACAATTTTCAGAGATTTGTTAATTATCAAGTATTAATTATTCCTTAATAATATTGTAGTTTCTCTGACTCGATCATTGTATGTTTCTACAGCACTGGTGATTATAGGTGATAACAGAACAACAAAAGAAGAAGAGACAAAATCGTTCAGGCACCTGAATTCACAGATGCTTTGATCCATATCCCAAGTGCAAAGCAGTGGAGCATCCTTCTAGTTCAATTTCCCTTCCCTGATTTTTGCTAAATTTCTAAAAGAATGGATTATTAAGTGTATTTTCATGCCTGGTCAAATTAAAAATGTTACTTTTAAGTAACATTCTGTAAATCTGGAGAAAATACACATTCGGTCATATCCAAAAATCTGAATATTGTGCCTCCATAACACTGAGCCAGTCTTATCTACTCAAATTTAGGAAAAAAAGAACTCCCAGGTAGTTAATCAAAAATGTATGTAGCATAAAGCCTGAATAGGAAATTGTATGCTAGATGACAACTCAGATAATCCCAGCAAGCTTTATACAATTTTTTAAAGCACTGGCTTTAAAAAATTACTGCCTGAGAACAGTGTTAAGTGTGCCACAGGAATCCTAAGGATAATAAGAACTTGATTTACATATATTTCTGTGTCTGTCTCTATACATCTCTATTCCCCTTCAAAAACTTATTTACCTCTTAGTGAGCAAAGAAACCCAAGCCACGGTACCTTGTCATTCTGCTCAGCAAGTAATACCACTGCCATTTGTTCCATCACCACTAACAACCCTAAGAGATTCAAATCTCTGATACTAGACACATGACTACATCACTAACTTCAGCAGCAAGGTGTTGGGATTTGTTTCCTCAGATAGTCAACAACTGCACACAAACACAATCTAGTTGTGTTTAAGAAACAGGTTTTCCCTGCAAGAAGTCTTGCAACTCATCAACAAAGATGAGCAGAGGTGGCACAAGGGACTACAGGTAAACAAACTCAAATACCTAAGAGAACTTTTCTTTGATAAGTGAAATTTTTCCCTCTATTCCCTACAACATGAATAAGTTTTTCAACTATGTTACCTTAAAATGGAGATCATAATAAAATTTAAATATGCTGATTTAGTTTGCTAATTAAAACCCTGACTATCAAATAATGAACCTGAGCTTTAAACCTATTAATGATAATGACCATTTTATCATCCTTTATCTCCTTCAATAGAATGAGCATGATAAACATTTCTGCACCTCAGTGACTAAGATGATTTTACCAATTAATGCTGCATACTGAGGGTGAATTCCAGGCATATGACTAGCGTTCATTCATTCCACCTGCAAACATCGACATAATAAAAACTGGGTAGAGAACAGTTTCCCTAAAGCCTAACATTAAAAAAAAAAAATAAAAAATCTGCAGCATGCACTCATCGGCCTCTATCCAATGTTTTCTGAAGGTGTAATTTTCTTTTTTGCTAATCAAAGGACAAAAATAAAGGCATGTTGCTACATTTATCAGCTGCAAAAGAGGACAATGACAACAAAGGCTGATTTTCAGTGAAACAAGCTTCCTAGAGTTTAAGCCAGAGAAACTCCTGATGTTCTTGCTGGGAAATACAAAAGTCTTGGTCTGGTTCTCTTTGCAGTTTGTTTCTCTCCCTCGCTCTGATAAGCAGCTTGACTTCTGGACACAAATCTCTCCCATCTTCACTATGGTACAAAAATATTTGCCGTAAGAAAAAGGATGAAAAATTGGTCATTATCATTAACATTAATAGGTTTTCAAAATAAAGTTCATTAAGTGATATTCAGGTTTTTTTATTTATCAGTTTAAACTCTGAACAAGTTTCCATAAACTGAAGCAACATGAGGGACACGTTCTTTCTTTTGAGGAATTTTTTTCTGTTAGATTCCTTAATTTCACGTAAAAAGGCCATATTGCTAAAATCTTTCGTGAAAATTTTTGATAATGAAAACGTGTGTCCACTGTTGTTGCATCTACAGTGACCCTACAGCAGCAAACCAGTAAGTACAAACAAGTTGAGCCATCAGAGCAGGATTTCTAGGCTCTGTTCTTGACAGAACTAAAATCACAATTTTATTTCACAAAGGACAGAGGTTTTTAATTTATGAGAACTGATGGCTGCTTGATGCAGATGACAGAATCATAGAATCACAGAATCACTAAGTTCAAGATCGTAAAATCCAATCATATAATAGCACAATTTGGAATTCAGGAAGAATTTACTTTTGCAAATAAATGTTCTAAGTACTACTACAGGGAAAAATTTGTTAAGACTATTAATCAGGTAAAGAAACGAATGGAAAAAGAATCTACTCTACAACTTTGAAAGTCTTATCTCAGCGGATAGCTAGAAAACAAAGGAGGTTTCAATTTAACAAGGGGTATGTTAGAGAAAGAGACTGTCAATATGTGCAGCAGACTGAGAAATGAGCATTTTATAATGTTAGAAAGCAAGATTTATAAAGAGTAGACTACTAATGTCAATGGATTACTAAACCCCTTGCACAAATCAAATATAATGACAAATAGTATATGAGTAAATAAGGCTGCCTTTGCCTACTGATAAGTGCCTCTTTTATAAGGTGGAATTGTATTAGTGATAGTTTAATTCAACATTAATTTTACAGTGGTTTGACAAAAAGGGCATCAGAACATTCTTGGCTCTCCTTGTCCTTCTGAGCAAAGGAGCACAAAAGGAGAGAACCAGAAAAACTAGCATCCAAGCACACACAACCCTATGTAGAGACACCCTGTGAGAGGCACAACTCCTCTTCCCTGTAAGGAGTGCGAAACATATCTGAAAGGGATGTGAAAGAGAAGTCTTTACATGCACTTTCCTTCACATCGACCAGAGAGAGAGTGTTTATCTTCTGCCACAGCACAGCAATAGATGTAATGTGCCCAGGAGTCTTCAACATGAGTTTTAGCTGAGACTGCAGCATTTCAAGTTTGTTGCTGCTTTCCTCCACTGAGCTGCTGGCAGAACAACCCACAGTTGTATTGTGGATTATTGTTGCAGAGAAGTAAATACTACAAGTCTGGTAACCAGGCCAGGCTTGTATAGGGCTTTTCAAGTTCAGATTCCTAGTTGAACTGCCTAAACTTCCAAAGCCAGAAAAATCTGGGATGATGTCCCCCAGAGAATGGCTTGCCTACCAGGAACAATGAAATAAATTTAAACAGAAATGGCTCTTAGTCAAAGATATGAATTTGCACTTTCCTAGGTTTTGGGATATCTTTGTCTTGTTCTTGGAGAGAAATTTCATGGTTCAAATATTTTGTTTGCTTTCCTTCAATACATTCTCTGTTTGTCTTTCTCAATTCTCTCAATTTTAGTATCCATGTTATCTTTCTTTTGCTATTCTATTAAATTACCTGTTCTCCAGTTGAGATTAGAAAATGTTTCTCTATCTACTTCACTTGCTTCCTAGATATAAAAATCCACCCAAAAATCCACCTTTTCCCTTGTCCTTTCTTTGCTCCAAGCCCCCTCAACAGTTTTACTTCACTTAGCCCCTCTTATTCTCTCACCAAATGCCAGGCTTGTTGCCTCATCCTACCCCTACCTTTTCATTCAGTAACTGAAGGAAAGGTAGAGAAAGTGCTGTTGGTGCGTCTGTAAAAAGATCTCTTTTCTGAAAGGGTGGCACAGAAAAATATTTGCTACTTGCATGGCTTCAGTGAAAAATAATGGTTGGTTTAAAGTATTGGGAGGAAAGGGTTGAAGGAATAAATTGAAAAACACACAGCATTTTTGCACATTTTCAGATACACCAATGACACTCATATCACATGATGTTGCCACGTGCACCCATTCTTCACAGCTCAGAAAACTATGGATTAAGTGTCATGATCAGGCACTGCAGCTATCTCTGCAGACACATCAGAGGTAACTTGGTGAATGTATGGAACCATTACCATACACGTAAAGGCTCCCCAGCTTTGAATGGTTAATCTGGGAAAAATAATGCTACTGTACTACATTTTTTCTCTTTAACATAGCTCCAAATGATGAGAGATCACTATGATCTTAGCTCTACAGGGAAGAGTAAGTTTTGCTTTTAAGATGCTGCTTCATATGCACCAAAAGGGACATACCTATTTGAGACTGAGCAACCATAGTAGATTTGCGATCACACAGGGGAGAGAAGGGCAGCCCTAGTTCTGCTTCTTTGTCACCCTAGAGAAAAAAAATTGAGATGAAATTAGAAAAGGACAAGACACACTGCACTTCTATATCTTACTTCACAACCGTAAAAGCCTCTCATTTTACTTTCTTTAATTAAGTTTTGATTTTATTTGCATTTTTTGTTTGTTTATTTTTAACACAAATTGTGGATAATTTGAGTCTTTCAGATAAGGAATTCATAGGCCATGGCTGGCCAGATGCAGATTATTGATTTTTTCCAAAGACAACACCAACAGTTTTCTACAAGCAAGTAACCTGCTTGGTTGTTGTGGGCCAAGCTGTGGGCATTCTCTACCTGGACTTTTCCAAGGCTTTTGATAGAGTTTCCCACTGCCTCCTCCTAAAGACACTGATGCATTACAGTATAGACAAGTGGTCCATGCAGTGGATGGGGAACTGGCTGACAGGTTGGGGCCTGTCAGCAGGTGGTGGTAAATAGCTCCGTTTCAAACTGGCAACCTGTCATAGGCGGGGTACCCTGGCAATCAATACTGGGCCCATAAATGAGGGCACAAGTCCTGTTAGAATTTTCTATGGAACAACAAGCAATAGTATTCTTCCACTGTAGAATAATTCTGCTTTATGTTAGGAGTCTAATACACAATATCAGGGTAAAACTCTCAGAAAAACCATCTCTCAATGCCATGATTTTTCATTATTCCTTAGGCCTCTTAAAAACTCCAGTGGCTAATTCTCTTGGGAGGGAACACCAAACTGCCTTTGTGACTGCTCAGAGAGACACTTGACTGTTTGGGCAGCTCCCTCATGGCTACCTAAAATGCATTAGTAAAACAAATTAATTAAGGTAAGGTGTTTGTTCATAGCCACTGAATATAAAAAGGCAGTAGTGCTCAATATCATTCACACCTGAATCACAGCATGATTACTTAGTGTAGGAAGACCTGTGACATGTCACATAGCAAAATAGTTGGAAACCAAAAGGGTTGGGCACCTGTTCTGATATAGGTTAAGTCAGGCTTTATCTCTGCAAGACACTTAACAGAAAGGACAGAAAAGAGTCTGCAGGTGAAGAGCATTAAGGAAGAGCATAAGAATATACCTAATCCAAAACCAGACCAGTTCCTTACAACCATAGTCCCCTCTGGCTAGTAGTAGTTCTCAATCTCATGGTTTAGGAATGGTATTCTCTGATTTAGTATGCCCACTAAAAACCTCCAAAGCATGTGCCACATTTTTCATATCTTGTGCTGTCCTGACTGGTCCAAAGGCTACTGCATGAACAATCTCCTGTTTAATTTGCTCAAAAGCTCCACTCGAAATTGTTCTCCTTCTGGGTCACCTGATACAGAGGTCTCACAATCTGACTGTAATCTGGAATATGCATCTTCCCCACAGTACCTAGGAAAGCTTGTGTTTCCTTTTGGCTGGTTGGTGAGGACATAGCTGCTCTTTTGTTGACTACGTGTGGCAGTTTGAGCCACATTAGAAATCTAAAAATCCAATTTCCAGGCTTCCCCCCACCCCTTCCCACAATTTATCCTAACACCAGAGAGAAACTTTTAGGCCAGAGGCTTCTATAGGGGAAGGGGAAAGTATATACATTTATTTACATGAATAAATATACTGTACAAACTAAAAGCAGCTATATATATATATATATATATATATATATATAACATTTCTGTCAGTCTTTTTAAGCTCCTCCCTTTAACTTTAGTCCAGGAAGAGCCTTTTCAGGCTGCTGGGTAACGCAATTTCTCTCGTGGGAGTGTTCTGGGCTCGAATGCTCCCCCCTCACCAAGCTCCAGCTGTTTGTTGCAGTCTTTCTCCTCGTGAAGTCCAAGAAGATAGCTTTGAGTCCTTTCTCTTCGATCTGCTATGTGATCTCTCCCTCTCGGTCTCATACCTTGGATTTTTAGGCTGCTGCAGTGTAGTTCAGCTTACCAAGCGTCCTCCGAGTCAGTTTTCGGCTGCCCCCGGTCAGCTTCGGCAGGGCAACTCCTGAGCTCTTGGCCCGTCTCCAATTTCATCTGGGATTCTTCTCTCAAGCACCGGGCCTACCTCCTCCAGCCCATCTCTTGGCTCAGCTTCAATGCTGAGCCTCTCCTCCACTTACAGTGGAGGGAAAGAAAAAAGCCCCCCTCCACAGCTTAACTGCAGAAAAGGAGGGGGAAGAGAGGGCTTGGCTGCAAAAGCCTGCCTCCTTTCTCTTACCTCAGGTGCTGCGAATTCCTTCCTTCACAGCACACACTCTAAATTGTGCCTCTTAACTGTGGCATAGACAGAGTTGGGGGCCGCAGGGCTCCCCCTCTCCCCTCGAAGGGGGAGGAAGGAGCCCAGCCACCCCCTGGCCTTCTACACCTACACGCAGCAGACACCAACAGCAGAACTGCCAAACAGCTTCTGGTGCTGTGTACATATGATTTTGAGCAGAAGCGAACAACATGGATGGTGATTGGCTCTCCAGGGAACACTGCCCTGGCACCCAATCACCTCTGAGCCCCCAAACTCTCAAGGGGGGGGCCAACTTCAAACCATGACACCACGTCCACTGGAATCTGACAACATCCATCTTGTCATTTGACTACTAAAATCTGAATTTCCTGGGCAGGTCCCTTGACCTTACTTTGCTTTATGGTAAAACCTGCCTTGAGGAGGATTTGGATTATCTTCTCCCCTTTCACAAAAACTGCCTCTGCTGTGTTGCCTCACATGATGATGTCATCAATGTACTGGAAGTGTTCTGGAGCCTCACCCTTTTCCAGTGCAGTCTGGATCAGTCCATGGCAAAGAGTGGGGCTGTGTTTCCCCACCCCTGGGGCAGTCAGTTCAAGTGTAGTGGATGCCCCCCCAGGTGAAAGCAAACTCTGCCCTGCACTCTGCTGCTAAATGAATGGAGAAAAGGCATTAGCAATGTCAATGGTGGCACCGCTTTGTTGCCTTGGACTCCAGTTTGTACTGAAGTTAGAGCACAGCGGCACTCAGTGGTGGTGTGACTTCGTTCACGCCACGATAGTCCACTGTCAGTCTCCACTTTTCACTGGACTTACGCATTGGCCACACAGGACTATTAAAGTGTGAGCAAGTCTTGCTGACCACTCCCTGGCTTTCTAGTTCACAAATCATCCCATGGATGGGATTCATGGAGTCATGGTTTGCATGGTATTGTTGACAGTGCACTGTTGTGGTAGCAGTACTTATTGTTCTTCGACCTTCAGCCAATCCCATAACAAAAGGGTCCTCTGAGAGACCAGGCGAGGTATTCAGCTGTCTAATTTCCTCTGTCTCCACAACAGCTATCCCAAAAGCCCAGTGATGCCCTTTTGGGTTCTTGAAATACCCTCTCCTGAGGTAATCTATGCCAAGGATGCACTCTGGGCCAGTCACAACGGGGTGCTTCTGTCATTCCTTCCTAGTCAGGGTCACTTCAGCTTCCAGTAGGCAGCTGTTGGGATCCCCCTGCCACCCCAGAAATAGAGATAGATTCTGCCCCTACATATCTTGATGGCATCAGGGTACAGTGTGCACCAGTGTCAGCTAAAGCCTTATATGTACTCTTATGGGTCTGATGTGTCAGGCCAAGAGATCCACACAGTCCCTTTCCTCCACCTGGCTGGAGGCAGGGCCCCTTTAGTCCTGGTCTTAGTACTCATTGCTCACTTCTTGTAAATATGAACTGGAGGTCCCTTCAAGAGGATTAGAAGTAATATCAGCCTGTTGTTCTGCCTGAGGACTTGCCCACTGGAAACTGGAGTGACATTTATCCTTGAAGAATTTCCTGCAGTGGTTGTCCTTTCTTTCAACTCATGTACCCATGCTGCTAGGGCAGAGGTGGGTTTTCTATCCCACTTCCTCATGTCTTCTCCATGGTCAAACAGGAAAAACTACACGTTACGTCATGGTGTTTGCTCTCTCTCCCCAGCCGGGGGTGCTTGCCCAACAGCAGAGACTCTGGTCCATACTGGTGGTGCATGGGACATTTCCTCTTCAGTTTGCTCAAGCCTTCTGAATCTGCCCGCAGTCTTGGACACTCTTTCCACAGCCAAAGCACAGATCAGTAAGGAGGAAAAACAATGATCTTCATATTGCCTGAGTTGGGTAGTCACCTGAAGCACCGTTTGTTCTACTTTCATTGACATAAATGCCAACAATACACAGCAATGGCATGCTCTTTGCAAACTTCTGCCACAGGGATTGCGTACACTGGATGTTGTCTGTATCTATAGGGAACTGCTCATCATTTGAATCCCTACAAACTACCTCCAGCACATCTCTCAGGTACTGGATACCTTGCTTCATGGCATTCCACCTGCTTGGGGGCACTACTAGATCATCCTTGAGAGAATACCTTTCCCTTACACTGGACAGGAGTTGTCTCCAGAGGCTGAGACTCTGTCCTCTTCCCAGTCCGCTTGCCAACGCCCCCATCCCAGGACAGGGATCCCAGCTGCTTGGCTTCACTACCATCTAGTTTCATATTTGGGGCTGTAATATCCCAGCATCGGAGCAGCCAGGTCACCAGGGGCTCATCCAACTGGTGGCTCAAATCTTTCTGCATATCTTGCAGCTCACCCAGGGATAGGGATGCAGTGATTATCTCTGGCCCTGCCTCTTCCTTCTGTTCTGAGAGCACTGCTTCCTCTTCATCCCTCACTATGTGAACTGATTTTGCCTTGGATTTCTTCTTCTGCTACTGGCACAAGTTGTTTCTGTGGTTCAGCTGCAGTTTGAGTGACCACAGTGCCTGTTGGTCTGCTTTTCTTCTCTTCCCCCTGAGGGTGCTGTCTAGTAATGAGCAGTGTTCAACAAAAAGTAGCCAGGGCCCAGCACTTGCATAAGTTCACACCTCTCTGGAGCTGCCACATCAGTCTTCTTTCAAATAATCTGCCACTTAATCAGGGTCCTGCAGTTGTTCAGCAGTGAACTTCCAAACCATTGGAGCAGAACAGTCCCTCAAAAGCTGGCCCATTTTCTCCCACATTCTATGCCACTCATGATTATTCACCCTGGGCAGATCTCTCAGTAACTTCATGGTGTGGTGGACTGCACTGAGGAAACCTGGCAGACTTAGTAATAAGAATATGATTTCCTCAACATCCAAAGGGAATTCAAAATTCTCAAAAGTTGTTGTAACAGGTCTGAAGGAGGAATATGGGGTGAAAAGCTGGGAAAAATCATCCTCCCCTGTTCCCCCCACAGATGAGGTATGATTATTAAAGGACTCCCAAAGGCAGCTCCTGGGGTAAGGGCAGGAGAACAACACTGAATACACATCCCTAAGGACCCTCATTGTCCTTGATATTATCATATTATAAGCTGATATCACACAGTACAGCAACAAACAGTGAACAGACCAAGCAACATTGTGACCAGTGGCTACACACCTAATACAACAAATGTTTTGATTGAATTTCTTCCAACCCATTGTGGTCAGATCTGTTTTTATCTCAAAACTTCGAGCCTCACATTGGGTGCCGAACTAGGCTGTTGTGCTTTAGGAATTGTATTCTCCAATTTAGTGTTCCCACCAAAAACCTCCAAATCGTGTGCCACTCTCTCCTCCCGTCCCTTCCTGCAGCAGGCTGGAGAGGAGAACTGGAGGTACAGAAGGTCAAGATCGTAGGTTGAGATAAAAACAGCAGCGAGATAAGAAAATGAACAGTAACACCAATAATACTAATAATGAAAGCGTAAAAGAGACAGGCGAATGATTCACATGCAAATGCTCACTGCAGAGCCCAACCCAACCCTCACCACGCTATCCTGACCTGGAAGAAAGCCCTTATACCCTTTACCCTCATCCCCGGAAAATGACATGAGATGGTATAGAATAACCTCGGTGTCCTAGCCATGTCCCCTCCTGGCTACTGCAAAAATTAACCATTACAACTTGAGAGAAGCATTCTTCTGCTGTGAGGTAGGGATGTACTTATTGATCTAGTACTAAATAACTTCAATGAACACAAGTTCATGCTTCGTGACAAGCTTAATGTATCTGAATTTGGAACTAGAATACAAGTTTTATACATAGCTTCATCTAAGTGTGGAGGCATTCATCATTCAAAGCTAAACTAAGATTTGTTAGTTGAAATTAAATTATTCTTATAAAAATATAAAATAATAATTTTGCCTTCTTTATATGTGTAAAACAGATCAAAACTTGGACTTTTTGTGGTCTCGCACCTGCCTAATCTTAATTCCATCACAAGTCTTTAAGGGACTCAGCAGTTGTGTATTTTAACACATTTAGAATAATTTTGAGCTAGAAAAGTATAAACATGCACATTTTTTTCCCTTATATGCATGTTAAAACCATCCTACTTGCATGAGGCTCCAGTGTGGCAACACAAGAGATAGCTGCGGGTATGATCTACCTCTAAAGACATTCATGGTTTGAAAAACAAATAAAGAGATTCATTTCAAAGCAAATTCTTGCAATGTCCTCTTTAAAAAAGGATTCCTGCAGTGTCTTTAAAAACAAACGTAATTTTAAAAAATTGTCAGAACTTTTTAAAAATTGTCATATATTTTTCCCTTTTGCATTCAGATTTACTATATAACATGAAGTTATAGAACTATGGAGGGAAAATGAGCACTCAATTTTCTGCTTAGGTTACTAATTCATATTAGTGAAAAGTATCCTAAGCACTCCTTAAGAGCTCTCTCTTTACTTCTTTTTTTTTTTAAGGTAGGTCTTTAAATGTTTTTATTAATCACTTGAGGATCTTTTAACAATTACACAGAGCTCAATGATTTGTTTAGATTTGTGGGTCTGTCAACAGATGGCCCACTATGAGCTATAATCTTGACCAGTTCACTTCACCTAAAGTAAGGGAAAAATAAGCCTTTTTCATATCCACCCCAACAATGAAAGTACAGTTCTTTAAAGTACAGCTAGCCAAATCTGTTTTTATGGTTCTAGAGCTGAGTGACACATATTCTATATTTTCCTAATCTGAAAGATATATTAGCTTCCCAAATTAGAATTTCTTCTAGGTAGAAAACGTTTACATCTATAGACAGTGTATCAGAAAATTAACTTTCTAAAAGGCATAATGGCCAGTGTTACTGGTGCCAGAGGAGAAAGCTTCATAGCATTTAGGAGGTCCTTACATATATCAGAGAAAAGGAAAATATCTGTGTCCATATTTTCCTACTTCTTTGCCCAATCCTACACACTCCCTCTCAGCTGCAGAAATATGAAGGAATGGCCCTGGCTTTACCTGTCTGAAGAACTCCTCTAGCAAAGACATTGTCCAGCGATGGTGGAGATCCCAAGCCTTGGCTGGATGACTGATATCTGCTGTATGTAACAACAGTGATAAGGCTTTCGGCTTGTCAATTCTGAAAACCCAAAAGATTAAACAAATTAATTGTCTACTCCTGCAGGGGACAATGACAAAAATGTTACCTTCAGTGAAATAAGGTAATTAGAACCCTTGGCCAGCACATTAATAAAGTGATTTCTCTGCTCATAAAGTCAGACAACTCTGAACGACTGTCTTATTTCTCCAAAATACACCATTCCTGTTTTAAAAGAGACATTAAAAAATACAAAAAGAAATGTTGCTCAGCCTCGTTGAACAACTTTCCAGGCTTGCTTGTCTGCATTAACAGGCTTGAAGAGCTGCTGTGTTTCCCATTTCATCTGGGCTACATTTTAAGCAGCTCAGAAGAGAAGCTAGTCCCTACCATCATACTGTAATGAACAATCAGGATCTCATCTCAGGGGCTCTGATGAGTCTACACAGTAACTGATAAATGTTTCACTGATAGAAAACTAGTGTGAGATCAGAAACCAACCTTGGCATCTGTTTTCACAGAAAAAAGGCTGGTGATTTCTTACAACCATAACCTAAGAGGCTAGCCCAAAAGCTTTCTCGGGATGGGTGGTCTCATTTTTTAATTCCACTTTTTGGCTATCTGAAATAGTTGAAAGAGCTGTAGCTTCTGAGAAGACCAAGTGGCTAGTCGCACTCTGGTCTGCTATAGGTACAAAATTCTTATACAGGTATAATTCTGGGACGCTTTGGACAGACCTTTGTCCAGGGTGAAAAATTGACCATCACTCAGCACTTTGTGCTGTACAGAAAGAATTTTAGGGGGAAGAGCTGTAAACAAAATATCACAGCTCCCAGTGACGTACTGGGAAGAAGAAAAGGCCTTTCCCATACTGCTCCATCTATTATTTTCCAGTTGTTCCCTCAGTGGATTTCAAGTTGTTTTCATCTGTCCTCTGGTTACAAAGCAGGCCCCTTGCAGAGTTGGCAGCTGATAGCATCAGCAGAAGGGCAAAAGCGTAAGTTGTGTTCTGCAGATCTTATAACCTTGTGTCATACTTAATCTGTAGAGATGACTCAATTGAATCATGTCCTTGGTGTTACCCATCAGGAAAATGCCCAGTGAGGCTTTTCCCAACAATGGTGAACATTTCCAAGCTTTGGTCCACCAGTACAGAGTAGAGATGTGTGCCAATGCCTTCCTAAGTGAATTCATTATAAATTCAACATCAGAAAGAAAATTGATGGGGACATCAGAGAAAGTGAGGGTCTCTGGAGAACTGCTTCTGAAGTTAAACACAATGGCAAAGCTCCCACTGAAAATGCAGCCCCACACTGCACTGTGTTGTAAAGTGACTCACCCTTCTGGCTGCTGCAAAGCATTCTTCATAGCTTTGATTTGCTGGAAATGACAGGACATGTCAGTGGCCAACACCATCTCAATCACTAGAGCTCTGAATTCTCTTTTGAATGGCATCACAATGAGAGCAGCAAGGAAAGAGAAGCACAAAACCCAGCATCAGACAAACTCCAGTTTCTTTTGTTGTCTATTTGTAAATTTTTGACAGCAATGCCTTTGTATGTAACTCTTTCTATTATATCTCTTTCAGAGATGGGAAAGAGGATGAAGGATTTTCTATACAAACATAGAAGTGGGAGGGCTGCAAATTAAGCCAAGTGGCTGATCCTTGGTAAGAGAAATCCTAGACGTTTTTTGAAGAGCATATTGGTATAAGTACTGCTTTTTCAATTAAGCACAAACTTCTTAAATTGATTTCTTTTATAGGGCATTCTTAGATGGAAGCCTCAGAATCAGGCGAACTTGACTAAAATTGGTAGATACCTATGCTGAAAGTTTAATCACACTACTAAAAGAAAAACTACTATATATGATGCATATATGAACTGAAGACCTTTGAGAACCTGCACTACTTTCCTGACATTATAAATTCAAACTATTCCTGTATTAAGTTTTGTTAAGAAAACTTGCTGTCCTAGTTTTGGCTGGAATAGAGTCAATTTTCTTCTTAGTAGCTGGTACAGTGCTTTGTTTTGATTTAATATGTGAACAATGTTGGCAACACACTGATGGTTTCATTTTTGCTAAATAGTACTTATTCCAAATCATGGACTTTTGAGTTTCCCATGCTCTGACAGTGAGCAGGTGCACAAGAAGCTGGGAGGGAGCATAGCCAGGACAGCTGAACCAAACATGCCAAAGGGATACTCCTTACCATAGAACGACATGCCCAGTATACAAACTGGAGTCACTAACCACTGCTTGGTGACAGGTTTGGCATCAGTCAGCAGATGGTGAGCAATGCTATTGTGCATCACTCATTTCTCCTGGGTTATTTCTCTCTCATTTTATTACTATTATTATTATTATTAGCAGCAGCAGCATTAGTATTATTATTAATTAACCACAACACTTGTTTAGACTCCAGATGAAATTCTTTTGAAGATGATATGGATGTCCTAAACATTTTTAAATATCAGAACTTTCTGATCTAGACACAACACAAATTTATTTTCTCTTTCTCTCAGTTCAGCTCTCCACAGGTTTAAAGAGGAAGAACAGTCCAAGGTTGGCATATCAGATCAGTTTTTGTAAGATTCAGAAATGGGTCACCATTCATTTAAAATAAAAGCTACCATTCTCCTTTTCATAAATATTTCATGAAGGATGTAGTCTACTTTGATCACATCTCTTTTGCCTCTAGTGGTTGTGCTCAAGTTCTACTCCCAGGCCACCAATGTGTAGAGACCTAAGACTTCTGTGCTTACCCCATCCCATGGATGGCACATAATGTAGCCTCCCCATCTCCAGGAGTTCTGCACACTGATGGCATCAGCTGGCCTCACTCTTACGCCAGTATAACCACCTCCTCCTCCCAACCTCTAAGTACAATCAGTTGCATAGTCAACACTGTTGTTGACTATAAAAATATGTCTTACAGTTATATAAAATATAGATATCTTTTATGTCTTATAGTTACATATACTTACATTAAGCATGTATGTTGACTAACAATATGGTGGCTGAAAAGCAACTAATCTTAATTTTTTTTATTTTTTTTTTTTACCAGTCCTGGTCAGTTCCCAGCAGCACAGACCTCACTGTCAATACAAACAAGGAGAACCCAAATGCATAGAGACACATTTTTACAAGAAAAGGGTGTGATTATTCTGTGGGAACAATTAGCACTGGGAAACAGCAGACTTTTCACTACATCCTCTGGACTGCAACTGCATCATACTGGTCTGCATGGGCTACTCTGTGCATAGCTTATTGCAGAAAGAATACAAAAGCAAAGGACTCAGTCCAGGAAAATGAGGCACTGACTGCAGTTCAAGCATGTACATATGCTTACAAGCACACACATTCTAGTTCCCCTTTCACAGATGCAAATCTGGAATATGCACATTCTCTGAACTCTGCACATACTTAAGAACATTATTTCCTCTGAGACAGAGATGACAAATACTTCAGAGATAGTAAGGATTTTACTACTGAAGAGTTCTTATTTGTTACTTCAAGTAACAGGCATCACAACAGCAGGTGACTTTGAAAAGTGTGGATATAGGGAATGCATGAGAGAAAATCTCAAAAGACATAACACTAGAGGATGATAACTTTGTTCATTTTTTGCTAGGTCAAGATAATGCTGAAATTCATTACAGAGAGAATCACAGATATATGTTTATCCATTTCTTGGTTTCACATCTGAGTCAGATTAGAGCCTGGTACACACAGCTGTTAATTTTTGCTCTGACCATTTTTAGCACTTTGTTTCTGCAATTGTCTTCAAAGTCCACACAACACATTATGGTGCTGCAGTCTGCATGCTGTCTAGCAGCCCTGGCTAGATAGATTCCAGATATTGTTTACAAGTGGTGTTTCCACTGAAGCATCTCTGGACTATATTTAATGATCCTAATAATGCACAAAAGCCTGTTAATGTTGTACGACATACCTTCAGAGGAATCAGTCTTTCATCTGGAAAAACACCTTTCTATTAGAGAAGCACAGTATATAAAAGCAGAGGAAAAGCAAGTCAACTGAAACAGTTTCCACTTCTTTTATTTTAAGAAAATATATTTGACGGTCTCAAAGTAGAATGAGGTAAGAGAAGAGGCTGCACCACTTTCAAATGTCTACACATTGCTGTGAAATTGTGCAAAACTATAGTGCTGGATACTTGGGCTTCATAAATATTGACATATTGTGAAAGGGCACACAAATTCAGCTCTCACTTCATTTCACTTACCAGTGAGATTATAAAGTCGGAGATCCCCCCGGTATTTCTCCTATATCTTGTTCTCCTTCATTCCCTAGTTTTCAAACCCAGCTTTGTAGTCAGGAAGAAGTTCATAAAGATCAAAGTTTAATTCACTCAAATACTAACTGTCCCAAGTAATTTCTTAAATAACTTGACTCCAGAAAAGTTGTCCAATTCTTTAAAAAATAGGTAACTTAAAACTGTACCCAAGAAAAGAAGAAATCCTGCAAGCTGATGAGAAAGGAAGGAGCATTATACCCCTATAATCCACCCACTGTCCTTCTTCCATTATTTGAGGAGGAAAAAGGGTTCCATTTCCTCACCATCAGAATGTACATATTGCACCTGTTCTTACTGACTACACCCCGCAGTGCATTTTCATTAACTAATGGTCCTAAAAACAACAAGTGACCAGTTTAGGATCTCATGGGAGGTTTTGAGTAGGCAGTTGTATTAGCTGCAAAATCTGACCTAAATCCTTTTTATTTCAGGCACAATCAGGAGCAACTGACACAACTTCCATCAGAATCGGGCAGTCTGAATCAGCTCTTGAGACAGATAGGGCCTGACTCCTTCCAAATCTGCCTCTGATAAACAGCAGTGTTTACTGCTCTAATTTAAGCGTGACTGCAATTCACAGGTGCAGTCTACATGCAACACAGGAGACTCAGGACATATTTACAGGAGGCACTGGAGCACGCGACTCCTCAGGGAAGAGCATCCAGGTCTGGCTTCAGAATTGCAAGCAACAGCTGCGTGGCAATCAAGGAACTGCAGAAAGGCAGATCATATGCACAAAAGGTTACTCCCAAGCGTGAGCAAACTAAACAGTTGATGAAACTGGCCTAAAAGACACAGCAAGAGCTGTACTATGCCCTATTAGCTTGCACCTCTCTGTCCTATGCTCTATCACACAGTACAAACTGGTGGCAGTATTTCTTCAGGTTTCTTACCTAGCTGAGATAATTCAAAGTATAATTCATTACACTTATTATCTGAGAAAACAAGAGCCATGATCTGGAGATGCTGATCTCTGCCAACTCTTTAGAGCAAACCAGCTCAGCTGGTTTATATAGAAACCTACAGATAGCTGAAGTGTGATAACAATGACAGGAACTGATAAAAGGCTTAAACAAAAATACTTAGTGCACCATACAACATCTCCTGAACTGAACTATTTTGATAATTTTGTCCAGTTGAAGCCTCAGCACTTTATTATAAAAGAAATTAATAGGAAAACACTGCATTAAAGGAAATATCATCATTGGCTGGTTCTCACTAAAGGTATAACACTCAGAATATTCACATGTCCATCCCCAATCCAAAGGAACAAAAATTTACAAGGAAAGGGCATGATTATGCAACCATGCACACGCTTATACTTACAAAAGAAGAGTATGACCAAAGTTGTTTTCAGTCAAAAAAAATTCATGGTTTCTCACCACAATCTTGAAATTAATAACAGTGATTAATAACAAAGAGGGCTCAGAATTATTTGAGGGACAAAATGCCAAGCAGCTTTACTGGCAAATTAGTATTGAATTAAAGGTTACTTCCCAAAGTTGTCCTCCCATACAAAGCTAAGCAACCAAAGATTTTCCAGACACCTTTTTATTCCTGTACTTGGCAGTAAAGAGCTCTGTTTTAATAAACTGCATCAAAGTTATTAGCAATTAAACAGAGTGCCAGAAAAGATATCTATAGCAGTATCTTGGAAGGCATTTGTTCACTTTGCAGTTTATTTTCTTAGCTCACTGTGATCTGGTTTTTGTTATAGTTTCTTCATTAACTTGTTGATAACTTGCACAAATGGGATTAATGAAATGAGGCAACTCAAGTGATTTTCAAATACTTAAAGAGCACCAGAGGTTTTTTTAAAATGGAGAGGGAAAAAAAGTAGTTTAAGTACCAGTAAGACTTCAACTCTTTTTCTTGATGGTAACACAAAAGTTCTCTTCCATTCTCATCCGCTTTCCTTACAGAACCCGTGGCCATTTATTTTCCAACAGTGAAATGTTATCTCCAATTTTCTGCATATCTTTCCTAAAAATACACTCCCTAACTAGATGACTGAATTCCATAAAGGTTATAAAATCCACATAGACATCTGGGATTGCAAAATCCACTGATCATCAGATTTTCTCTTACTAGTAATGCGAAAAAAGGTGTCAGAGTTCAGCTCAGAAAGGCACTTTAGAATTTACTTTCCAAAAAACATTACCAGGGCCTTTTACTGAGAGAGATTTATCAGATCTGTCTGCAAAAGTGAAGTTTAATTTGGCCATATTTTATTAGTTTTCCAAAGCATTCTTCAGTACTGAGTGTCCTATTTTTGAGTGCATGAATGGAAAACTCTAGGCTTTTTTGTTTTTTTTCCCAACACCTCAGATTCTGCTGAGTCAGTTGATGTTTACAAGTGCTTCCCAAATGTTTGCCTATGGGAACTGTATGAAATACTGGCAGTCAAAAGCAAAAGCATGCAAAAATCACAATGTTTTTTAATTAGAGCCCTTCCAGTCAATGGTTTTTATTCTGCAGCTTGATCGGCAGCTATAAAATAAAAAAGCCCTACTTGAGAGAGAACAAATAAGCAATCTAAATCACTCAATATTTTTCCTCAGGCACTTACAGCATTTCTTAAAGAGATAGGTTAATACTTGAAACTTTGGGTCTAAGCACATTGCATCAACAGGACACACATGTTGGCACTATAGAATCAATGAGAAATATCTGAAGCTGGCTTTGATTCAATCAACAACAGTTTAAAGCCTGAAAGCAGACCATTTCCCTAAAGGCAGAATCTATGCAATCAATTACCTGTTCCACTGTAAACAGTGGCTATTCCCTGCAGACAGTGGCTCTAAGGCTGATGTTTCTAGTCAGTTAGTTTCTTTATGTTTCCCCACCAACATAAAAGATATTGACTGATATTTGACTAGGCATTGCCAGCTGTAGCTAAAAAAGATTTTTAACATCTCGGTGCAGGTATTTTTTTTTCTGTTCCTCTTTACTGCCCACTATGAGACTATTCTCCATATTGGGGGATAGAATTTTCAGGCCACTACTTCACAACACTCACAATTGACTGAAATTAGCCATCTAAGTTCCTGAGTGTTATTCTTGGTGTTTAGCTATAGGATCACATCACTGTCCACAAGTTAAACAGGAAATTCAGGCTAAACAGAGCCTTCACTGACCATTTTACTAGAAGCCAGGCCCCAGAGAAGGGCTCATTTCCCCACATTTACATTAAAATAAGATTAAATGATTACTCAACACTGTGTCACATTTAAGCATATGCAGAAGGCACTGTGTGTTACATAGGGTCCCACAAGTTGCTTCCCCCTCCTTGAAAAAGACCACGGAGCAGGATTCCCTCTGTCTAGCACACTGGGCTATTTTTCAAGTACCACACCTTGAAGTTCAAAAGATCCCATAAAAACAGAAAACTGTTATCAGTTTGAATTGTCTGGTGTTGGAAAGGAAATCATGGGCTGATTTTGGCACATAAGTCATATATTTCTTGAGGTTTATTTTAAATTACAGCTTCTTACATCACCTTGACACATACAGTAGACTGATCTATACTCCAAGGACTGGATTATTTCATTCTTTAAGTCCCATTTATAATTTCCAGGCAGGAAGTGTCAAAGTAGATAAAGGTTATGTTTAGGCTTTAGGAGGAACAAACAGTAGGCTAGCTCTACACTCACTTAACAATGGATGTGTACAAAGAGTGTCTCTGTGATACGTAGAAATTAGATGGGAGTCAATTTCTGTATTATAATGCATCATCAAAAAGTCTAGCTTCAGTATCAGAGGTGAGAACTGAAAGCAGAAATAAGCAAGACAAACACCTTTTAAAGTTCTTTACCTTGTAGCATAGAAATATTAACATGTAATATACAATAATGCATATCGCTACTCAAACAAGGTAATAGCAGTCTATGGTGATGCTGCAATATTCCTAGGCAGCCACCATGTTAATTTTTACCTCCAATCATCCTTTGAGAGATTAGATAAAATATTCATCTCTTCATCATCTTGCAAAAGACGATACGCCGCACTAACATGGTGATTTTCAAGCACAGACCGGTCATTATATAGAATGGCTGAGTCTGACCTAGCATTTAAAAGAAAACATAGGAAATGTTGTTTCTTCCCTGTCTACAGTTTTCCTTTGATCAGCTGCAGCAATTAAGTCTACAGAACAGATATACACATTTTAAGAACATTTGTACTACTTTGTTAATTGCTGTTATTCAGTAAAAGAAATGTAAAGATCAAAACTCGCTGCAAAATCTGTTTCACCAGCTGACATTCAATAGTTGCTTTGTTACATACTTGAAATCAAGTGCTGAAAGCTGTGAGAGATACGTAAATTGGAATTTGAACCATGAGGCTTTTTTCCAGTTCTTCTGTATGTTGCTCTGATATTAAAGCCTGACTGTACCCAAGCAAGCAGTTGCAAGATGTGACCCAATATTGTGTCCAGAACAGCAAACTGGCTGAAGGCAAGACATAACTGAATTGCATTCTGACATCCGTGTGCTAAACTATGTTGTCCGGAAAGGCAATTGCCAGTGGGACAGAGTAAGAGCAAAGGTACTTCATGCCTTACTTTAAGCCCCAGGGCAGAGATCTGTGATACATGAATAGCTAAACTGGCCTGAAGACAAAGAAGTTAATGGCAACAGAGGATGAGTATGATTTGTTACAGTTCCCACTCAGACCTGCTTCTCAGTGAACAGTGTATATTTTTCTCCTCTGACACCTTACACCCTCTGATGTTCACTGTTACAGAAATTAAATTACAACTGTCCTTCCTTTAATCCTTTTATAAGTATTGGGAAATACAGTAGATCTCTAATTCTTGCATGGATGAAGCTGTAACCAGTGGAGTGCAGTCTGGCCTAGAATAGAGACATAAACTTTTTTCTACATTCCTAAACTTTCCTGCACATATGTGTGCTTATCTTAGCAACCACTGTTGATGCACAGCATGATTCAGCTAACACACTAAAGACATCTAATTTAGGGTAAGATACAACGCACCTTAGAAGTACCAAAGTGTACAGGGTCATTTGAGGACATCTAGACATTTTGTCATTGCTACCAGTACACTCCTATTGTCAAAATAATACACAGATATTAGATGTCCAGTTATCACTGCAAGTAAAGATTTCATAATCTTTGCACACTTCTGAATTTTGCTGCCGCCTTCATCTTCTTCTTTCTTCCACCAACCCAAAAGCCTTATAAAATACACCGGTCCACTCTAGTTTGTGATCAGTTAATTACGGTCTAGTAATTTACAAACCTTTTAAAAAATATTTCCCTGATCAGGTAATGGTCATCATAAGCCATTGCTGCAGGTGTGGTTTTCCACTCAAGTGAAAATAATTTGTGTAGTGTTCACTGACAAATACAACAAGTGTTGTTGAATGCCTGATTTATGCAGTTAATGTTTGATTCTTCAAATTCAACAGGGAGAAAAAAATTGTCAAATTACAGTATCTCCTTCAAAACTATAATACATTAAAATACATTACTCTGTACAGCACTTTGTCTTTGGCACCCTTACACAAAAATATTTTGGGACCTTTCTTTTTCCTGATCATTTATGTGAAACAATGCTCAGAAAGCTAAAATACATGCATTCCATTGTAAATGGCTGAGCAAGAGAAAATCGAATGCAACCTAAGGAAGTGAACTTTTCTCCTGTATCACTTGAAAACGGAAGTTCCGGCACTTTTCTAGGTGTGCTGTTATTCACCACAGGTTTCCTCCTCCATGTCTCAACCCTTCATCATGATTTACAGTGGCCTCACCGTGTCTGGATGTGAAAGTTGTTAGTGGTTCCAGTGTGTTCATAGTCATGTATGGCAGCTGCAAAGATCATAGCGAAGATCTCCAGCTCTGTCAGCCAGTGCTGAAAAGAGATTACAGAGGAATCAGGTAAGTTGTCATTTTCTCAGGCATTAAGGTTTTTGGTTTTTAAGGCAAGTTATCTCCTGTTGACAGTCAATGTTGCACATCATTGCCTTTCCCCTGCAGCCTGTCAGCTGTTTTAAAGCAAACTTCTCCGGCTAATACACAAAAGCCAAACCAGCGTGTTTCCTGGATCTCCACCTAAATAAACTGAACTTCAGCAAAATGGTTTCAGGAGCTAATAAGGTTTAAGGCAGAGCAAGGGGAAACACAGGCCCTTCTGAACAAGCAATGTTTGCAGAACACAGATGAGGAAACCTCAAGAAAATCAAGGTTCTTCAAAGGGAACTTGATGATACATGTGCAGGTAAACACATACCACCAGGGTATGTATTTTCAGTTCAGGTGACATGTGTAGCAGAGCCTCAGATACAGAAGACTGTCACTAAATTGCAGTAACTAAATGTCTGTGCCAATCACTGAATCATGAGGAGAACAAGGAAGATAACCTCAAAAGATGTACATCTTGTTATTTATTTATCATTTTTAGAAACTTTTGAGAAAGCCCTAAAGTTTGGGGTTTTTTCTAATTTCCTAGTCAAAGCATTACTCTTCAATGCTTAAGTCACTTTTGCCTTAGATTTATAAATAACAGCTGGGTTCAATAATTTTTCTCTTGGTCAATCAATCATTTTACTGTCTGGTTGTCTAGACACACAAGGAGTAACGCATAGGGAGTGTTGTTAACATCAAGCACATGGGAGGCAAAGATTTTAGATACTGTAAATACAGTAAATATTTGTATGAAATGCTTAAATGTATTGGATTTAGGGAAAATTTTTACCACAGTGATTGCCAAATAGTTCTGTAACTACCCACTGTCTATCTGAAAGTGTTTTGACTGACATTCACGTATGAGCTGCCTTTTAATTCAATGTACATATTGCACCTGTTCTTACTGACTACACCCCGCAGTGCATTTTCATTAACTAATGGTCCTAAAAACAACAGTGACCAGTTTAGGATCTCATGGGAGGTTTTGAGTAGGCAGTTGTATTAGCTGCAAAATCTGACCTAAATCCTTTTTATTTCAGGCACAATCAGGAGCAACTGACACAACTTCCATCAGAATCGGGCAGTCTGAATCAGCTCTTGAGACAGATAGGGCCTTCCCTATCCCCAGATTCCTTCCAAATCTGCCTCTGATAAACAGCAGTGTTTACTGCTCTAATTTAAGTGTGACTGCAATTCACAGGTGCAGTCTACATGCAACACAGGAGACTCAGGACATATTTACAGGAGGCACTGGAGCACGCGACTCCTCAGGGAAGAGCATCCAGGTCTGGCTTCAGAATTGCAAGCAACAGCTGCGTGGCAATCAAGGAACTGCAGAAAGGCAGATCATATGTGTAGTGGTTTGAACCTTGTTTTCCCCCAGAGGCTGAAAAGTGGTAACCCCCAGGGGTGGAAACCCCTGGAAGTCTTGAAGTTCTGTCCAATGAGTGCTCCTGCAGAAATGTAAAACATATCACAAGCAACCGGAAGAGAAGAGTTGTAGTTTGTTTGTTAGAAGAAGTAGCCATGTTGTTGTAGTAGCCACGAGGAAAGGGGCCCGGAGCCCCTCGGGGCCTCTGGGGCCCCCCAGCCCCAGTTGGGGGCTACAGAGACTTGGAACAGTGTTAAGCTGGACTATGTGTCTGTAGCTGTGAGCTGGGAGATGTTTTCCATCTTGAGTGAGCAGAGACAGAGCAGAAGCGGTGGCAGCGTTCAGAGGTTATGGCTAAGAGCCAGGACAGATAAGAACTGAACCGGAGGAAGCAGCAGAAGCTAGCAGCAGATCTACGGAGTTCTGGGGGTAAGAACTGATATTAGACCCCCTAAACTCCTTTGAGACCTCCTGGAAAGGAGGAAGATGATAGACTCTTACTTGAAAGAGCCTTGAAGTGCAACATGCACTGCAGAGAGGAGCTGAGAAGCTCAGTCGCCCTGAGAGCTCAGCCAGGACGGTGTGGGAGGTTGGCCTTGGGGGCCTTCCCTTGCTGCAAGCTACAAAGAAGCTCGCAGCCTGAGACAGGGCACAGAGGCCCTGCAAGGAGCTTGAATCTCCTGGAGATACCAGACCGTCACAAAGACCCCCTGCGTCTTCGTGATATGACCGTGGTGGAGCGACCTTTGTCTGGGGTCAACGCAGCCCACGGAAGACCCCTCGGTTGGTTGACGACGGGGCCGAGGGAGCTTGGATACCCCCTCGTGAGTGCTGGCAGAGATCCAGCTATCAGCTGCTGCATGCATGAGATGAGGAGAACTTGCTGCCTTAGAAGAAGCCGCTGCCCTGAGAGACTGGAAGGGATCTGTCCTTCTTTCCCTCCTGGACTTTTATTTGGAGGGGAGAAGAGATCTGATCCATTGTAAATACTATATGTCATGGTAGAGATAGTTGTGATCGTGTGTATAATGTGTTATAGTATTTATTTGTACAGTCATTGTAATATATTCCCTTTCCCCCACTTTGAGTCTGGTTGTGTTTTGTCTGGAAAAACCCATCTCACATTAGGTTGAGATGTGGGAGGGGGGATGGAGCTAAAGAATTGGATTTTGGGGCTATCTCAAACCATGACAATATGCACAAAAGGTTACTCCCAAGCGTGAGCAAACTAAACAGTTGTTGAAACTGGCCTAAAAGACACAGCAAGAGCTGCACTATGCCCTGTTAGCTTGCACCTCTCTGTCCTATGCTCTATCACAAAGTACAAACTGGTGGCAGATTTCTTTAGGTGTCTTATAGAACTCTACACATAAAGGCATCATCAACATACAGTGGGAGACATAAACATCTCCACAAGTGATGGTGACAGAGAATTTTTACGGTAATTTTGTATAGCCCATCTAAGGTAGTCATGGCATGTGAGTGTTGGAATTTGGTTAGGCTGAGTTACATGATTTTCCCTCATCCTTATTTTCAACAGTTCCCAGTTAGACTTTGTAACAACTGGGGAGTGTTCAAGAAGCCCTGAGCTTCAGTAAGAGCCTCAATATCTGCTGATCTGGGTTCACCTGTCTGCTCTGAACTACAAAGGCTCCTTGCCTCTGGAACTGCACATGAGTTAGTGGAAGGACTACAGTGAAAGGAAGCACAACAGAACAGAATTACATGTATTCAAGTACCAGCCACAAACACAGCAGCTACAAGAGATAACTGTAAAACACTGAACACCAAACTTCCTTTTCACTGCCACCTTTGCCTCTACGCTTCTGAGAATGCAAGTGCAAGGGAAAATTGGATACTTGGAAAAAGTGAAGCAAATAACATGAGGAACAGATCTGCCCCACAGGATCAGACTGGAAGTAATTTCATTCCTCTTTCTGGCTGCAGCAGTAACCAGGAGAAAGAAGAAGTGAATGAGATACATATGTATCCTGTACACTGTGTGGGACAGAAACTTTATGGGCCTCCAGCTAAATCCAAACTGCAATGGTTGTCATCACTCTGGAATCTATCTGCCTTCAATTTCTCTAGTCCATCTTCAAATGTATTTCTGTTGTTTGCCTTGAAAACCACTGTGGGAACATATCGTGCACTACATATTTTTTTAAGCCCTCTACCCATTCCTGACACTATTGTCAGATATCAGCTGTTCGTAGGCTTCTATGTAAGCCAGTTCAGATGGTTTTGCTGTAAAGAAGTGGATGGGGATCAGCATTTCCAGATTACAGCTCTTATGCTCAAATAAGTGGAATGAATTATCCTTTGGATGTACTGCCTCCATTGCTTAAGTTAAGAAGACAGCTTAGACAACACGATCCTTCCTATTAGGTGAAATGAATTCCAATAAACGTGTTGGCAGATTCACACAGGAGATCTGTGGGAGAGTGAAAAACCGGGCTTAGGTTTTTCATTCATCCTCTTTAGATCACTGTTAGAAGAGTTATCGACAACTTCACCTACCTTCAATTTCTAAATAATCCAAAGTCTCTACTTTTATTAGCCCAGCCATATCAAATGAAGTTTGTCTACAGTGCAAATGGGTTCTACTATGGATAATCACAGTCTCATTATTAAGCAAAAACTGTTGTAATCTAACTATATATTGAGGATGCCAAATCCTTTACTTACCACTATGCCTGTCTTGAAAAGGAGGTAATGGACTGTCTGTGTCACATCTGCAGCGTGCATTAGGTTGTGATAAGGATTTTTGTGTTTGCTGTAGCCAACCTCCAGAGCTTCCACAAAGGACACCAGGGCAGAAATGGGAATCTAAGTAAAGCATCACAGAATTAAAGAAAAAAAAAACAAAACAGCTTTAATACCAGCATTCAGAGAGGAGTATTTTGATAAGAGGTTTCCAAAGAGCAGTTTTTACTTGACAAATAAACAAAACACTAAAACACCCAAAACAGGCACTCGAGAGAGAGTGAATTCAGGTTACTACTTCAACCTGGGTTTTCCATCCATAATTACATTATAGGTAAATCATTCCCACACATAAACACACAGAAATAAGTATACTATGAAATGCCGTCTGGAAGACACATGGATTATGAAAAGTAGCAGTGACCACTTTATTGATTGTCCCTGGAGAAATATTTCTAAATAGGCTACAAGCAACTGTCTGTTGCCTTCACAATGCACTGGAATACTCTGCTTTACTATTCACATTCAAGATTTTCTAATGAAACACATCATATAGCAAGTCATTTATCAGAGCTCTAGGTTTTCACAGCAAAATCCAGCCTGTCCATCCTATGGAATTGCCATGTTTTTCTGACTCCAAGAGTAACTGCAGACACCCAAAAAAATGCAGTTGAGGGGATTTCTAGATTTCTATGCAGGTGCTGTCGGCTGTAATGTATGCAACCGGCAACATGGGCAACATGGGTTCTCCAGTTTCACTGTTTCCATAGAGGAGCACTGCTGTTGTCCTCTTGGGTACATATAAGTAGAGGATGCAGCTCTGACCAGACACCTTCTTCAAAGATGTCTCATCAGACATGGGCAGTTTCTGAAGAAGTACAGGACCCAAAGACCTGTAAACTCTTTCCAGTCAAAGTGAGTGGGGACCCATGGGAATTGGAAATGAAAATGTCAAAAGACGAAGGGACAGCAGAGTATCTCTGCGAGGGGAATGGTCAAGATCTAGATGGCAATGTTTCTGCCATCCAAATTTAAGCCTGTTCAAAGTTGGAGGAAAAGATATATAACATTTGTATCTGCAAACCTCTGTAACAATTACAAAACTATAGAAGAGTTAGGGTTGAAAGGGACTTTTAAAGATCATCTAGTCCACCTACTCCTGCAATGAGCAGAGGGACATCTCCAATTAGATCAAGTTTCTCAGAGTCCAATCTGACCTTGAATGCTTCCAGGGATGGGGCATCTACCATCTCTCTGGGCAACCTGTTCCAATGTTTCACTACTTTCACCATAAAAAAAGTCTTCCTTATATCTAGTCTAAATCTACCCTCTTTTAGTTTAGAATCATTATCCCTTGTCCTTTTGCAACAGGCCCTGATAAAAAGTTATTCCCCATCTTTCTTATAGGTCCCTTTCAAGTACTAGAAGGCTGGAATGAACATTCATCAGAACCTTCTCTTCTTCAGATGAACAACCCCAACTCTCACAGCCTTTCTTCATAGGAAAGGTGCTCCAGCCCTCTGATCATTTTTGTGGCCCTCCTCTGGAGTGGCTCCAATAGGTCCATGTCTTTCCTGTGCTGAGAACTCCAGACCTGGATGCAGTACTCCAGGTGGGGTCTCATGAGAGTGGAGGAGGGAGCAGAATCACTTGCTGGCCTAACTAATCATAATGAATTTGAATTTGCATTCATGATCTCTTGTTCTCTTTTTGTGCCTGCATACTTGAGGGTCCTATGAAGCTCAGGAAAATGACACCATCATTCTGAGAGGATCATATGCAGTATTTCCCACAGATGTCATGTGGAAACCTGTTTGGAACCCCATCTACTTCATGGTGTCCCATTGCAATTGGAAGTACTACTTAAATCACATCTGGTCTTGCTTATTGAGGAAAGTGCAGTGTTCATAAAATCTTCAAAGAGCACTAAAATTGCCTTTTGAATGGAATAAAGCAGGATGAGAGGGAAGTTGAACAAAATCTAGGATGGAAGAAAATAACCATCTTCTAACTACTGACCTTGAAACGGTTGATCAGATCATAGCGTGTGAGAAGTTCATAGAAAATGAATTTCAGTGCATGATCCCCACTGGCATCATTTAGTGCAAATACATCAAAGGACCACTTGTCAACATTCTGCAAGAGTGGGTAGAAAAGGCAATTAATATGGTCATCCCTTTTATCATCACAGTTCAATTTCTCTCACTTTCCCTCACAATCTACAAATTGAGAATTAGAGAAGTGATGTCAGCATATATTTTCTTTTTTAATAAATTCTTCAATTCCATTTAACCAATGCAGAATTGTCAGGATACTCACAGTATCAGTATACTTATCAGTATTGTATGAGTTGTGTTTAGGAAGCTTCCATTAAGAACACGTATACTGTTTACTTATTCTAAACATGGCAATTCTCTACACTAGAATTTAATCACCAAAGGATGAATCCTAATAGATAAAAATTCTGGTGTGCTTTAGTACCTGAAACATTGAGATGGCCTATTGGGGCTGATTTTACCTCTCTCTGTCCTCTACCCACATGCTATGTCTATAAAAAAGAAAATAATTTTGAAGAAAAGAGGAATAATGAAGATTTTTTTTAATGATATTGAAGCCTCTGGATTTTGCTGTCCCTCTTGAGTTCTTATAACTCTGTATTGTGAGCAAAGCATTCCAATGCCTCACTAATGTTTAAAACAGAATAAGGTTATGGTTTTTTACAGTAAAACAAAAATACAGGCACCTGAGCTCATATTTTTATCACTTACTGTTCAATCACTGAAGATGATAACTAAAGACTATCTTGCTAGACCCAAAGAGCAACTTAATTGCTTCTGACAGAAGCATTTTACTCTGAATCACTTGGGGGGGGGGGGGGAATCTTCTTACCAGAAGCACGAAAGTGTCATAGATGGCCTATAGGTTTGCAGCAACATCAGTTACACTTTGAAACTTAGTGAATTTTATGACCTCAAAAAAACTTTAACACAGAAGTGACCCCTGGGGTCACTGGGGAGAGATCTAAAAGCAGAGATAATTTCACACATGACTTGTGACAGAGGAGAAAAACTTTTTCTTCTCCCTAAGGAGTGCAGGAGAAGCAAGGGAAACTTTCTGTTCTACACATGCTAGATAACTGGCCCTGTAGCCTCAGTGGAAGTGCGTAAGATGCTCTTATGTCACATATGACAACTGTAGTGTAACAGAAAATAGATCCAAGACATAATACTACTCAGTCCTGTGTCCTGATTACTTGGCCACCGATCTACTGCTTCGGGGAACCTAGAGATGAAGACAAACACTAATTGTTTTTAAAGTCAGTTTCTTGACTTTCTGTCTCTTCTTAACCTTGAAGACTTGTTTTATAAGTCAACAAGCAGTGTTTCATTCTTTTACTAAAACTAACCCCAGTTTGCCAAAAAGCTGTGATTCCACAGGTTTGTATTACTCAGTGCAGATGTCCTGTTGGCCACAGCAGCAAAAATGAGAGCATGCAGTTCAAAAATAAGCTTGTTTTGACTTCATGCCTTGTACTTATTAACATGACTCTGAGGGGAATGTTGATTATGGCAATCCAGAACAGCTGAAGAGATGTGTGTGGTACACTCCTACACCCTTAAACATGATTTTGCATGTTTAAATCATCAGGTCATTTTATAGAGCACAATAAGCACTCAGGTAGTTCTAAGGTTTTTTTACTAGACCTTACTAGAACAAAGCAAGGAATAAAATACAACATTTTCAGTGGAGGAGATGGGACTGAGAAATTTAAGATGAAATTTTTAAGACAGAAAAATTCACAGAATCACAGAATATACTGAGATGGAAGGTAGCCATGAGGATCATTGAGTCTTACTCTTAGCATGCACAGGACATTCCCAAGAGTCACTCCATTTGCCTGACAGCATTGTCCAAATAGTTCTTGAACTCTGGCAGGCTTGGGAATCCCACTTCTGTGGGGACCCTCTTCTGCCTTCTGCAAAATAAGTAACTCCCATTTCAACCACATCCACTACCAAAACCAAAGCCAGCCAGGTAAAAATATGTTCTCACTACAGTTTTGGAAAAATATACATTCTAGAGTCCACAGTGGCCAAGTGGGTGTTATTTCACCCTGAGCAAAATTAGTTTGCTGTTATTGATTTACTTTAACTTACTCTAGCATGATCAATTCTCTGTATGACTCTTAATCATTTGAAAACATAGAAAAAAGAGAGGGATTCTGTAAGGTTTAAGTCAACCGAGAGTAGCTGATGGATCTTCAACTGTCTTGTTGAAGGAACTCGAGAGAAGAGGTGCCATTATAGATATATTCCCTCATAAGCTGGTTGGAGTGTAGTTGCAAAAGAACAAAGAATTTAGATTCCATTTGCGCGAGTGAGGGTAATGAAAAGGATTTGGTACCCTAAGTGTAAGTCTTTCCAGTGTGGAGCAATGCAACAAGATGTCTTCATGAGCTTTACACTGCATATTGCCCCACTTTATCACCTTTTTTCACCATTGCATGGCATGGTTGAACCACATGCAACCTGTAATCTGCAAAGTTGTATAGGCAGCTGGTTGCTAACATCTGTTTGTAGTCTTGATAATTCCTGTCTAAGTCAAGAATTTTGCAATTGTCCCATGGATTGAACCTTTGGGGTTTTTTGAGACTAATTATGACTAATCATTTTTCCTCTGAAACCTCAAAACTCATAAAATGGTCAATATTCATAAACTGATTGTCACCTTGAAGACCCTAAGCATGAGAAATTCCCTTCTCTTACAGCAATTGATCCTTTTCCTTCTCCACCTCTCTCCATCCGTATTTTATTTCTTCCCTGTGGGATGTTGTGATTAATTCCCAAGTCCTTGATTTAATCACTGTAATCCAGAACAGAGCTGTAACCTTCACAACCTGAAAAGGGCCACAGCCTTGAACTCTGTTCTTTCCTTTATTGAAAGGATATTCCCTTAGGTCTCTTAAATGATTAGTGTATGTGAACTAAACTAATGTCAGAGAGAAGGAAAGGCCAAGTACTAAGACTCCCCTTATCAAGTCGAATATCACAGTATTATCTTGATGCTTTGTATAGACCCTCTTTCAATACCTTTTTATTGGGATTACCTTTAGCACTCCAATTACAGCTGGTGGGTAGCTCAAGCCAACCATATTTGAAGTCCGTCTGTACATTCTACCAAGACAAAATAGATAAGGCAACACATAAATAGAATTAAACAAAATAAAGCAATCAACAAAAATCATAAAACAGACCACTACAGGAGACCTTATTTAGCCCAGGAAACCCTAACTGCAATTTGGTTTTTTTTCTTTCCATCTTGTTCCTAACTTTCACAATATTCTCTAAACTATTCTTATTGTATAGCCTAATTTGAGCCTATATGCTCCCCATTATCTCATAGCTTGGCTACCCAGCAGGCCATGACAAAGAATTTGCCAATACAAGGTCTTCATCAGAGGGAAAGGCTACACTCAAATAACAAGATGTTTCCAATTTTCCATTGCACATGTCTGTACTGATCTTTCAGCTCCCTTAGTCCTTGTTGGCCCACATGCAAGCTAATTCTGAATGTTCCTTAGAAATCATTTGTATGCAATGAATCAACTCCAGTTTGGTACAGCTGTTACTTTTGTCTGTATGTTGTCAAGATTAGTATAAAACCTTTTGGGTGTTCACCCCATGTGTGTGTTTCAGGGAGTAAGAGAGAAAGAACAAGGCAAAAATCAACATCTGTAACCATACTAAAAGCATGTACGTAGCAGATTTTAAACTTGATTATAAAGCATATTTTAAAAAGATTATAAAGTATGTACTAGATTTTAAACTTGTTTTCAGGGCACACTGTGTTTAACAGGCTTAATGAATGCAGAAGCATTGTCATAGCTAAAAAGCCTTTTCACAGGTCATCCTTTTTTGCCCTTAGGTATCATTGGAGTAAAAGGAGAGGATGGAAGGCTCTCTTCTCCCATCTGAAATGATGCTGTGTAAAGTCTTCCTTCACTTCCATTTTTCTTTGTCATGTTCTGTACTCAGACCTGGAAAAAGTCATCCCCTTTTGAAGAATTATATTCACCTGTTCCTCAAATTACAAAATTTCTTATCCCTTCTTCCCTCCAAGTCAGAAGCTCCACAGCCTTCTCTTAAGTGACAATTCAGGCAGAATCCCTTTCCCTTAGCTCAGGAGAGCCACAATCCTCCTCTGGTGCCACATTATATCTCCTTTGGGCCACAGTGATTCAGATCAGCTGCAAAACAGCCTACTACAGGCTACTCTGCAGCAGTTAATTTACTTCCTTGTTAAGCAAGTCCCCCACTAAGAGTGAGGGTTAATTCACAAATAGCCTGTCAAACCTAGGAGAAACATGTTCCAAGGAAAAATGACAGGTTTATGCTTATCACAATTTGCTGCCACTCTTAACATATGTACAGTAACTGGTGCACAGATAAAAATATTGGCTATAATCATGCCGAAGGAGGCTTCTGTGTATCTGTGTGGCTTGTGGTCTGCTCTCTGATAAACCCAACCTCCTGCACAGAGGGCTGTTAGGCTGTCACTGCAATTCTGACGAACAGTGAGTGCTCTGCTCTTCCATTCCTGACTTGAATTTTGCTGTTACAAAATTCTCCCAGGGATCTGGGAGCTGCTGTCTTTCAGGCCGTCTAAAGACTGTTGACAGTTTCACATGTGCCAGCCCTCCTCCTAGCTTGAATGAAGAGAGTCAGCAAAGAGTTGTTACTTGATAAGAAAAGGTAAGATTGGAAGTGAGTCCAAATTGAAATGACTGAATGTTTTAAAGGGTTCAGAAAACACAATCAGTTCTGGCAACAGATTCTGATGTAAATCGCAACGGGGAAGGCTAAGAGGACTCAATGGCTTTTTTGAAATCCCCCTGAACTCTAAAATTTTCACATCAGTCTTGATCTATAGTTCTTTCCAGTAATACTATGATAAAGGATTTTGTTTTGTTTCTTAGCAGTTCTTCATGAGAAATACTAGACCACAGAAGTAAACAGAGCCAAGGGGGAGTTTGGTCTGGCCTGACTGAATATTAAATGCTGTCTCTCCTGACCAAGGACTATGCAGAAATGCATATTCTCTGTCAAAATTACACCAACTGTGCAATTACATCTGTACTATACTAAGAATAGATGAAACAGAACTGTTTCAGATTGCAATCTGTTACTTAATCCCAGATTTTGAGGTGTTATCCAAATCTGTGTAGGAACATCATCAGAAGCATATTAAAGTGTTCTTCATTCAACAGAGTAACCTACTAGTTCTCTGAGGTCTTCTGCCCTAAGGTACTGTCCTCCACCTCCTGTAATTGTGCAAAATCTGTGGTACCTGGGTAGTTACTAGAACAAAGTAATTACATCCTACTTCACCTTTCTACAAATATCCCAGCTTGTACTGCATGGACAATACTCCTGAACCGGGGTTTTTCCTCTGTCCTTTTGAGCATCATCCCCATTTGCCGTGTGAAGGTAGAAGCCAACCAGTCACGGACCTCTGAGGGCACAGAGTCAGACTGAATATCACTGAGTTCATCTTCTGTGTCCAGTAAACGCCTAGAAGGGTGAGAAACAATCGGTAAACACACTCCCTTAGAGATCACTACAACATCATTAAGAAAAAAACTCCTCACATATATTCTAATTAAAGCAGCTGTTAAAAGCCTTTGGTTTATCATCCCTAATCAAACACAATTATATAAGTCTTCAACAGTTTGTTTATTCTCTTGTATACTTAAATTTCATTTTGTAAAACTCACTACTAGGCTGACAAACAAGAAGTATCAGCCTTCTGAAGCACAGCTACATAATCCTTCACTGACTTCACATCTTCAGCTCATCAATATTTCCGAACTTTCTGCCCTTCAGAGGTCATTTCTAACTTCTGAGTTAGTAACACACAGTCCTCTCCTTTCCCATTCTGATCATCTGTGGCAACTCCACAAGTGCATTTGCCACTGGATAAATGGCATATAACAGAAAGAGGAACTGCTCTGCAATGTCTTACCAGTAGTCTACCTCTATCATAACCTGGAGTAAATTTTTTTTTAATTTTAAAGATATGATACAAGCGAAAAGATTTAACATTATTCAAAAAGAATAAATTGTAGGAATTTAGAAACTTTCAGAAAAAGTGGGACACAATTATTATGAAAACATTTCTCCATGAGAATATATATTACATTTATGATTTCTTTTTATCTCTTTCCCTGCCTCACAAAATTTAAAAAAGCTTTTAAACCAAGGATTGAAGATCTGCTCTACACAGAATACAATATTGTAATGATTAAAAACATATTTTCTGCCAGTAATAAATCTTGGCTCAAATTTCCCAGTTGACATTTAAGTTACAATTTTGTGTCATTGGTACTAGATATAAGAGTGCTGATGTCTGGAGTTAACTCACCTAGTTTCGTCAATGTATACTGACTCAAGAACAGTCGCAGCATATTCCAAATTCTTCTTTAGGTCTACAACCGAAGCTTCCCCTCTCTCTAATTGCTTTACCAAAGACCGCAATCTAAAAAAAAAGCAAAACAAAAATCTGATGAGTATAAAGAGAAATAGGTTTGACAGTGAGTACCAGTTCCCATCGTGAAACCTAGCATACATGCTTGACAAGTGAAAATTTTGGAAGTCTACAAGTTTCTTGAAGCCACATGGAAGAAATCAACAAAAATCACTTTTCAAAGATCAGTTACAATGATGCCAAGCAAACAGTACAATGCATTTAGGCTCAAATAAGTCTGCGAGTTATCACAGTCATAGAATCATAGAATATGCTGAGCTGGAAGAGACCCATCAGTATCATCAAGTCCAACTCCCGGCCCTATGCAGGGCACCCCAAGAATCACTCCATGTGCCTGAGAGCATTGTCCAAATGCTTCTTGAACACTGGCATGCTTGATGCTGTGACCTCTTCCCTGGGGAGCCTGTTTCAATGCTCTACCACCCTCTGGGTGAAAAACCCTTTCCTGGTAACTAATCTAAACCTTTCCTAGCTCAGCTTCATGCCATTTCCTCAAGTCATGTCACTGGTCACATGGGTGAAGAGATTACTTGCCTCTCTGCTTTCCCTCATGAGGACTTTGAATACCACAATGAGGTCTTCTCTCAGTCTCCTCTTCTCAAGGCTGAACAAACCCAGTGACCTCAGCCACTTGTCGTAAGGCTTCACCTCCAGACCCTTCACCATCCTTGCAGCCCTCCTCTGGATGCTCACTAATAGCTTAATGTCTTTTTTATACTGTGGTGCCCAAAACTGCACACAGTACCCAAGGTGAGGTCTCACCAGTGTAGATTAGAGCAGGACAATCACCCACCTTGACCAGTTGGATAATTTAAAATAGAAATCATGTGGAATTAACACAGGAGCAGAGAGGACAATTTCAATCCAGCCATAAAACAGAAGTAACTTTTTGAATAGTATCTGTTAATAAACAATAGCCATTCATAATGATTGATGTATACATATGCAAAATTGTATTAGAGTATATTCAGGAACATTACCATAGAAATACTATACAAGGTTAGAAAATGCTATGATTTTCATTAGATCAAGAGGCCACCCTTAGACTATCCCGTCTATACTAAACAGAACTCATGGAAGTTTTATCAGATTATTATTGTTGTTGTAAGGGGGAACAGACTTTTGAAAACAAAAATTTGTGCAAAAATTGTCTCATCTGTCAAAGACAATTAATATATTTGTGTAATTTTCTTTTCTCTTTTCCTTTTTCACTCTACTAAATTAGGGAAAAAAAGGAAGAAAGAGGAGAATAAAATCTAAAGGCAAGGAGTGAAATCTAAATATTTTCAAACAATCCAGTTTGCATGCTTATAATTAGAAGAAAATTATCATTTCGTTAAAAGGGGAATGGGATAAAGACTTGAGAAATTAAAACATTTTTGTGAATGTCCTCTTCCTTGCTAAAAAGAAGCTAAATAAACATTCAAATATATATTTAACAGTGTAGCAGAAATCACAAATTGTTAATTTGTCCTGTTCAAGATGCAAAAATGGAGAGGAGCAGTCATGTCACCTATAATTTGTCCTCTAATTAGGAGACTACTCTTCCTCATGTTTTTCTATATTCTGTGGAGTAAAACAGCCTTTTCCACAAAGCAATTCAGAACTAGAGCCCAATATAGGTGTCTGCTTTCACTTTATTAACTGTCATGGCTAGGCTTCACAAACGAAGATTTCGGAAAGGCTCTGTCCACATTATGCGAGAGAGACATGTCCAATTGCAAAAGGCACAACAGAAAGACTCCTTAGGTGGTATATTCCGCAAGACATGGTTCTTTCTGCGTTGTCGTTTCTCCTCGAGAGTGATCCTGCGTGCGTTCTCAAAGGCATCCACAGTGTTATAGATGGTGTGTCTCCAGGCCTCCCGATTGGAGACCAGAGTAGACCAGTTATGGTGATCAATATGGCCAAGGCTGAGATGTTGTTTCAGGGAGTCCTGGTATCTTCTCTTCAGGGTCCTCTCTTGCGGCAGCCAGTGGCAAGTTCACCATAGAGCAAGATCTTAGGGAGGTGGTGGTCCTTCATCCTTGAGATGTGTCCTGCCCAATGCAGCTGTATTCTCAGCAACATGGCCTCAATACTTGTGACTGCTGCTTGTTCTAGAACAGATGTATTGGTCACATAATCTGACCAGTGGATGTTTAGGATTGTACAGAGGTAGCATTGATGGAAGCATTCTAAGAGACGCAGGTGGTGGCGGTAGATGACCCATGATTCAGAACCATATAAAAGAGTAGACAGCACAATGGCTCTGTAAACACTGATCTTTGTACTTTTCTTCAAGGGTTTATTACACCATACTCTTTTATGAAGCCTTCCGAAAGCACTCTATGCCTTTGCTAACCGGTTGTCTATCTCTCCATCAATCTTACCATCCGAGAAGACGAGGTTGCCTAGGTAATTAAACTGTTGGACTGATTTGGGCTCTGATTGGCCAATGGTGATATGGGGATGATGGAAGACTTCCTGAGGTGCAGGTTGATAGAGAACTTCTGTCTTCTTTAAGCTGACTTCCAGACCAAAGAGCTCAGCAGCGTCTGCAAAGTAGGATGTTAAACGCTGCGGAGCTGCTTCTGTGTGGGCAACAAGGGCGGCATCATCAGCATAAAGCAGCTCCCGGACAAGATGATTTAAGGTCTTAGTGTGGGCCTTCAGTCACCTTAGGTTGAAGAGGCTCCCATCAGTATGATATGGAATATAGATACCATCTTGAATATCGAGGTCTGCAATGGCCCTTTGGAGCATCATGTTGAAAAAGACAGTGAATAGAGTTGGTGCAAGAACACAGCCTTGTTTCACACCACTGGATATTAGGAAGGGCTCAGAAAGTGCATCACCATATCTGACTTGGCTGTGCTGATCCTCATGGAGTGAGATGATCATTTTAAGGAACTTAGGGGGACATCCTAAATATTCTAAAATCTGCCATAGACCTTTCCTGCTCACAGTATCGAAAGCCTTGGTGAGATCAACAAAGGTTACATAGAGACCTTTATTCTGTTCCCTACACTTCTCTTGCAGTTGTCTGAGAACAAATACCATGTCTATGGTGCTCCTGTTGGCCCGGAAACCACACTGGCTTTCAGGTAGAATTCCTTCTGCTATAGCGGGTATTACTCTATTCAAAAGTATTCTTGCCAGGATTTTGCCAGCAATGGAGAGCAGAGTAATACCACAGTAATTTGAACAGTCTGATTTAACTCCTTTCTTCTTATACAAAGTGATGATGACTGCATCACAAAGGTCTGATGGTAGTTCACCGAGCTCCCAGTAGCGCACCACAAACTCGTGAAATTTAGCATGGAGTGCTTGGCCCCCATGTTTCCAGATTTCAGGTGGAATTCCATCAACTCCAGCTGCCTTGCCAATTTTCACCTGCTGTATGGCCTTAAGGGTTTCTCCCAAAGAGGGGGTAGTATCCAGTTCCTACTTCACTGGTTCTTGTGTGATGGACTGAATTGCCGAGTCCTGAACTACACGGCTGGTACTGAAAAGAATCTGAAAGTGTTCAGACCATCGATTCAGAATGGAGGTTTTATCTGTTAGAAGCGTTTGACCATCTGGGCTGAGTAGAGGGCTTTGGACTTGGTATGTACGCCCGTATGCTGTTTTCAAGGCCTCACAGAATCCTCTGTGATCACCTGTATCTGCGCATAATTGAGTTTTCTCAGCTAGGTGATCCACCACTTGTTCTGGATGTCACGGAGTTTCTGCTGGAGCTTGCTGCACGCAAGACGAAAGCCTGCTTTTCTTACGTGACAGGATGGCAATGCAAGGTGTGCTTGGTGAGCGGTTCTCTTCTTCCTCAACAATTCCTGGATCTCTTGATTGTTTTCATCAAACCAGTCCTTGTTCTTCTTGAAGGAGAACCCCAAGGATTCTTCACAGGACTGCAGGATGCTGTTTTTTATATGGTGCCAGAGTGTTTCAGGAGAGGGATCTAAAGAATCTATAGAATGATTTTCAAGCCTAGTTTGAAGTAGTAGGAGCCTAACCTCCTACAGTAGACGTACGCATGAAGTTCTTAAAATGAAATGAGTATCTGTATTTCCTTGCCATTACAATGCCCCTGTGGCATCAGTGCTTTCAAAAGAAATCAAGTCTCCATGGGGCTGTATTTCATGGAAGAGCTGAAGAGCAGTCAGTCTGCCTGTGCGCAGTGCACCAACAGCTCTTTCAAGCTGGGTTTCCTTCCCCCCAATTTTTCCTAACATAAAGAGTGAGCCTATGGAGAAAAAAAAATCATAAAAAATATCGATCGTTTCTCTGGCTAGGTCACATAAATGCCACTCCTGCTAAGAGTGGTGCTGCTGTCACACAGCTACATATTTAGCTTTACAAAGAATCTTGAGCAACAGGCAGAGCCTCCATCTCCAGGAGATGGATCTCTCATCCACTTGTCAGTAATTGAAAAACAAAAGTATTGTTCAATATTTCAGTCCTGATGTGAGAATGGAGATGGGAAGATCAGTGATGTACAGATACACTGAGCACAACTTCTCATCTCTGTAAACCAGGTGGAATGCATTTAACATATTTCCCTCCAATCCTGAAATCCAGCCCAGAAAATCCATGGCGTAACTTCAACCCCATGAAAGAAGAATGGTTTGGTGCTCCCATACCCCTCTGCTGTGTAACTGCACCACCAGGTGTTAACAGCAACACAAAACCAAATATTTTCTTTGAATGAGCAGAGCTAGGAAATGTGCTTCCCCACTTTTCAGGCTGATTCCAGCCTCAGGCAGCACACATGGAAGATGAATTTGCCTCCTCCCTAGAGCTAAATCATTGATCCCTCCTATCCATTCCCAGCTTTCTTTGCCAATACCGGAGGGGAGGAAGAGAAAATAAATAAAACCACTTTCGCATCCAAACAGTAAGTATTTTTTCATATGCCTCCTCGTTCCTTCATCCCGTGTATGGGGAGTCTGCAGATGTGACCCCTTAACTAGCTACCAGAAATATTGTACACAGGAATCAATACTGCAGGA